TGATGAATAAGTGCGAAAAACGTTTTGGCCTTATAAAATTTGATGAAATGACCAGGGTAAAAGTTTTATTACTGGCGGTCAATTCAAAACGGCGCAAACATTTAAACAGTGAAGATAGTGAAGCACGATTCAAAGTGTGGTACACCTTTCGTACTTTGAGCGGCGATAGCGGGAAAACGGTGTGGAGCTTCGAGGATCGGTCTTCAGTTCCCGGACCAGAAAGGTGGGGCCTATGCAATGTCAAATTTCATCAAAATGGTGATACTGTCCCTTTAATGGCCGTCTGCACCCAAATCGTGTTATCGTTCATGGCCGCACGTTCCCTTATCCATGTCGCCGCACCCCCCTCTCTCTCTCTCTCTCTCTCCCTCCCTCCCTCCCTCCCTCCCTCTCTCCCCCTTCCTCTCCCTCCTCTCTCTCCTCTCTCTCCCCCTCTCCTCTCCTCCCCTCTCCTCTCCTCTCCTCTCCTCTCTCTGTCTGTCCCAGGCCATGGTCCCTCCCTTGTTTGTCGGTTTGTCGGCGGTGTACCTTTATCACCGCTACGGCCGTCCAGGCCGTAAGCAAATAGCACCACTGTGTCCACAGATTCCCCTCCTCTCCGGCTTTCGCGTGTGACGCGAGCACTTGTCAGCGAATGTGCCGCGCTGCTTTTGCTGGGCTATACGCGTGGAACTTGGCATGACTGGCAGGCGCCGCTATTGCGCCAGGTATATATCGATACCATACCGAGGCCGTGCTGACATGCACGCGCACCGACCAGTTGGCGACATGTTGACCCTGTTGACGTCCTCTAGACCGCCTTGCCGACGCCGGGTCTAAGCCAACAGAAATGTGACGCTCACACCACGTGGTCAAAGTATAACCGGATCCAGTCAAACCAGCCGGTGGTCCAACATAGGCATGCACTAACCGTCGCGTTCAGTGTCTTGCTGGGGGAGAGCCGGCGTCGGCCGAGACGAGACGAGACGAGTCGGCCGTTTGGGGGGGACGTCCCTGAGGCTCGCGTGGGCGGAGCCTAATGAGGTCCCATTGGCGACCGAAACTGGTCTGATGACCTGATTTGGCTTTACGAGTTTTACATACTTCCAGGGTAGTGTTGGAGCTGAGGTCGAATTTAGCATCAATAAGAACGGTCACGAAGCAGTTTTGAAATGACCATCCCACTTAGCGTTAGTTTGAGTTGACATAGCCAAGTTGCGGCCAGGTTAAGAAACCACCATCTATCATGGTCGCAACCCCCGCATCTTCGGTGTTGAAGAAATTTTATTCCCTTCAGGTGCAGAGTGGGACTAGCTTGGTCCCTATCTCTTAATCATTAACGGACTCTGATGACGTCATCGATTTCTCTCGTTACGGGCAGCACGCTCTCTCCCTCCGCAAACATCCAGCCCGATCAGGAGCCGAACGGCAGGGGGAGGGGGTCCAACCGGCCCCCTACCCACACGTTAGACGCAACAGAACGCCGCACCCGGGCGAGGGATATAATAGGTGGACGGATCAGGCTCATTCGAAAGCCTGACCTATCAGGATCACAAGCGGCGGCCGCCGCCGCGACGGGACAGTGACGACCTGCAGTTGTGCAGTTACATTCCGACTTATAGCGTTGGAAACGGTCTAACATGAGCCTTCTTGCTGATACGTGCCCTGGGGAAGATCGCAGTCGACACAGCCAGCCGGGAACCACCGCGGCACGTCAGCGTGACACTCACCATGTCAATCCACCCAGCGCTCAAAGCCAGCCGAACTCGGGGCGCCCAGCGCATGCGGCTAGGCCGGCATACAATACATCTCTGCGCAGCGGCGTGAGACTGACTGGGGTGGTCTGTTTTGCGCACGCACCCAGCCTGGAATCCACCACTGCACCGCAGCGTGCCACTGACTATTTCGATCTACGCGACGCACATGTCCAGCCAAGTTCGACTACCTGGCGCTCACAGCCCGCTATCTGCCATCCCAGGTCGAAACGCCCAGAGCGCACGGCCGGCTCTCACCCGGTCCCAAACCCGGCCCCAGGGTAAAATTGGACTGTTTTAGCGGCAACGGCGTAACAGAGTTGCCGTTAATAGTGCGAGTGCCGTGGCACGTAGCGCCACCAATTGAGACTCAACTCAGGGGCATTCATTTGACATTTGCCCTGGGAGTTTGAGTTCTGCAGGCCTCAGGTCAGGTCACCAGGTCACAAAACGGTACCTCGTCAAAATGGCACTGAAAAACGCCATTTCCGTGAAAACCAGAGTGGTTCATCGATGTGATTCCAACTCCCGGGACACGCTGAATTCCTCGAGTGCCGTTACATGCATTCCACTTCCAAATGCGGTTGACCTGAGGTCATCCAGCGACCTGACGCATGCGAAGAAATTTTGCAAGAATGTTGCAAATTATACACATGAAAGATATATGTTCCAATTCGGCTCTTCTGTGTTGCACCACCACAGTTACATCAACACGTGATTTGTACCTATGCTTCAACCGCTAAGGTCGGGTCAAATGAGGTCAGACTACATTTTTTTTTTGAACCACTAACTTGGCACGCAATGAGTCTGTGTGTGCGCTTCAAAATGGCTTCAAATGGTGCCACAGCGCTCCCTGCGATCAGCCGGGTCGAAGGGGTCCCTACCCGCTGCGAACTCCAGCCCGCGCCGTAGGTGTAGGTGCCGTATGGCGGCCAGCCGCTGCCGTGCCGTGCTGACAGTCACGCCGCTCCGCTTGAGGTGCGCCAAGAACCCGGGGAACAAGGCGCTCATGCCGCCGGGGGACGCGCCCTCCCCCTCCCCGCCTCCCTGCGGCGCAGGCGCACGATCGTCCCCGCCTGCCGCTCCGTGCCCGCCGCTCGCCCTGGCGCCGTCCGCTGTCGCCGGCACGGTCGCCTTCGAGCGACCCGCTGACGCGCCGTCACTCCGCCGCGCCGGCGACTGTCTCAGCTAACGCGGGCAAACACCCCCGGTCCGGTCCGAGTGCCCGTCACCCCGAGCCGGTCCGCGGCGCCCGTCCAAACCAAGTCGGCGGGCGCCCGCAGGCCCCAGTCCGACGCCCCAGAAACGGCCCCGCTCGTGTCAACACCGGCGCCGCGCGAACGTGAGACCGCTGCCCCGCAACCCCCCCCCCCCCCACCCCCCCCCAGGCCGGCCGCCACGTGGGCGGGAGAGAGGGAGAGAGAGAGAGAGAGGGAGAGAGATAGAGAGAGAGAGAGAGAGAGAGGGAGAGAGATAGAGAGAGAGAGAGAGAGGGAGAGAGAGAGAGGGCTTGGGCGCGACCACGCCGGTCCCGCCGCGTCCGCACTGCGCGGCCCCCGCGCCAGCGCCGCCGCATGCGCCGCCTTGCAATGCAATTCGACCCAAGTCGACAATTGCATGCCTCCGTCCAGCGCCACCGCGCGCGCGCCTGCAACTCGACCCAAGTCGACAATTGCAGCGCGCTATGCAACTCGACCCAAGTCGACAGTTGCATGCCTCCGTCCAGCGCCGCCCCGCGCGCGCCTGCAACTCGACCCAAGTCGACAATTGCAGCGCGCTATGCAACTCGACCCAAGTCGACAGTTGCATGCCTCCGTCCAGCGCCATCGCGCGCGCGCGCCTGCAACTCGACCCGAGTCGACAATTGCAGCGCGCTATGCAACTCGACCCAAGTCGACAGTTGCATGCCTCCGTCAAGCGCCGCCCCGCGCGCGCCTGCAACTCGACCCAAGTCGACAATTGCAGCGCGCTATGCAACTCGACCCAAGTCGACAGTTGCATGCCTCCGTCCAGCGCCACTGCGCGCGCGCCTGCAACTCGACCCAAGTCGACAGTTGCATGCCTCCGTCCAGCGCCACCCTGCGCGCGCCTGCAACTCGACCCAAGTCGACAATTGCAGCGCGCCATGCAACTCGACCCAAGTCGACAATTGCATGCCTCCGTCCAGCGCCACCGCGCGCGCCACCTTGCAACTCGGCCCCGGCTGCCGCTGCCTGCCCCCCCCCCCCAGGCGCCCGCCGCCTCCCCCCGGCGCCCGCGGCCTCCCTGCCGCCTCGTACCCCCTGCCCGCACCCATGTCATGATCCTGCTCACCTGACATGGTGGTGTCCTGGCCACAGAAAATGCGGAATAGGTCCCTGTGCTGCAGCGTCACTCCTCTCCTCTCGCGGTCGTGGCCGCTCCTGTCCTGTTGTTCGATCCACTAGCCAACGCACTTCTATCGTATCCGTCGTGCACCCGTGCAACACACAGCCGGCTGTGCTTCTCCTAAGCCAGAGCACAGTTCTCCGCACTTCCATCACAAATGTGGAATAGGTCCCTGTGCCGCAGTGTCACTCCTCTCCTCTCGCGGTCGTGGCCGCTCCCCGACTGAGCTCCCCCCTGTTATTGCCCGCCCGTCCTTGTTTGCGCGTGCCCGTCTCCCGCGCTCGGTGCCGCCGTGGTCGCGGCTGGAGCCCTCAAGGGGTCTTATCAGCGGCGGCCGATAAGACGGTCATTAATCTAAGGAAAGACTTCGCTCGCTTCGCTCGCTCCGTAATAATTCATTGAATGCATAAGCCAAGCTAATGTATACACATTGCCCAAAGTATGTAATCAGTTAACAGTTCGTAACAAGGCAGTTCGTTCTTTTTCATTCTCATACATTTCTTGTTGTTTATTTCTTGCCATGGAATAAATGTAATAAGGCTATTGACAATACTTTTTTAGGCTCGTTCTTGCACCGTTCTGGCATTTCTTGCCTTTACTGGACAGTAAAATGGCGTCCTTTCACCACCCTGAAAGAAAGAAAAATTAAACTTTTTGAGTCCACCTTGCCATTTTGTCCTATATTAATCTTTCTCTAACTTTCATCGAATATCGGCTGTTTTTTCTGACTGGCGCCACTGACGTCCACCACACGTGTTTTGATGCGGTGTAAGCGACTGCGATCACCAGGGAAGGGGAGCATTGGGTGCGGGCTATCCACTCAAGTAGCGTGTTTTCCATCGTGTTCGGCGGGCGAGCCGCCCTCCTGACCAGCACTCTGTATGTTCCTGTCTCCCGCAGCGATGAGGAGACCACCATCGCGCGGCTGAACCCACACGTGCGGGAGATGACCTCCGACATCCTGTACCACCTGGCTCTCGGCTCCGGCTCGCACGACCTGCACGCCATGTTCGGCGACGTCAAGGTGATCTGTGGAACTGCGGCCATCGACCACACGGCGCGCCGCGGGCAACGGGAGACGGGACATCATCACGTGGCCCCCGGAGAACCGGGACGTGACCGCTGTTGGATTAGCCTGTGTCAGATTTTGCCACCCATCCAACTTAACCCTCGCCCTGGCAGGGGGGGGGGTCGATGCGACCCCCCTAAGGTTTTTCGAGGATAGCGTAAAAACGGCGGCGCGCAGCGCCGCCAAATTTGGCATAGCCTATGGGGCAACCTTTTTACATATGACCTGAAAATTTCAGGTCCGGGTGACCTTGGGTCAGGTCACCAGGTCAGAAAAACCGGTACAAGGTCATGGTCAAATTTCAATTTTCTTTTTGCACCTGTCCAACTCACAGTTCTGGACTGATTTCCTTCAAACTTTCAGGATGTGCTAAGTTCACCGAGTTGTATAACATATAGTTCGGGTGTTTTGAGGTCACTGACCTGAGGTCATTTAGAGGTCATTACGTCGTAATGTTAAGCCTATGGGAAAATACTAAATTCGGAAAATACTGGAGATATCCGCTTCGTTCTATCACTTTTTTGCTTTGAAACCACAGTTATTAACAGCAGGTCACTTGGTGCTTCTTTGTTTGGCGTACTTATCCATGGGTCAGGTCAAATGAGGTCAACTGAGGTCAAATGACGTTTTTGCCAATAACTTGGCACATAATGACGCTAGAGCTTAAAAATTGGTATCATTGTGTTCCTGGTGATCAGCCGAATCGAATGATATGCGATATGATGCAATTTGGTTAACGTGAACTTAATTTATTAATTTAAGTTTACTTAAAATTTAAGAAAAACTTTAAGTACACTTAAGCAAGTTAAAAAGTATACCATTCGACGCGCCTTGATGTGCTGAGTTCACTGGTGCTTTTCTTTTTGCTCTATCTTAATTAGATTAAAAGTTATAAGCGAAAAACATTTGACCTGTTTTTAGCGAAATTTTTACATTTATACCCCCCAAAACCCCCCTAAATAATGACCTAGAGCAACCAAATTTGCACAGGAGCGAGAACTCCAGGTGGCCCACCTACCTACCAAATTTGGTGTTTCTAGGTGCCATAGGAGCCAATCGCGAGGGGGGGGGGGGTCGCATCGACCCCCCCCCCTGCCAGGCCGTGTTATGAAAAATGCCCTGCCAGGGCGAGGGTTAACCGATCTGAAATATGCTCCTGAAAGTTTTGAAACCATCATGTTGTCTGCATTTTCATTTATCTTCAGATCAAAGCAAAGCGCTTAAAGGTAGTGTGCCACCTTTGAAAGATTTCCCATTTTATTTTTCCTAGGATAAGAAGCTTCTGTTTTTACCTAATATCGCAAAAGAAATCAAAAATGGGCCTGGAATAGTGCCTTTTTCGCCTAAAAGTTTTTCGGTTTTTAGATATGTATAACAACTGTAGTGGGCTCACCTGCAAACAGGCGTCGGGCAACAATCGCGAATGCGGCGCACTTGTGACAATAAGCAAAGGTCATTATAGTGTTACGACCATACGACGTACGGGAATGAGTTATCAGCTGTCTAATCGTAGACAACACAATGTCGAGCCTTAAACTGTAAGCCCGTATTGGTATTGTTTCTTTTATTTGGCTGTCGAACATTATTTATGGTTTGAAATATGATTTTATGTAAAACAATTGATATGAAAAAGCCGTCTTATAAATTATGACCCCATTTCACCACACGCAAGTGGCAGAAATGACAATGATCAGCTGACGCATTTTTCTTGGCCGAAGTCAGAGCGCGCGGCCCGACGCACCACGCGTATTTGGAAATTCCGACCTCGACGAGCATCAGAAGCCACCTAACAGGCGTGTTCGAAACCGCAGGAGATGATGATGAACGGGTTTATCGAAACTTGATTGGATGAGCATATCGGTAATAGCGATTTCAGTGTGTGCATTTATTGCTCATAGTGGTGTGAAATGTGGTTGGGGTACGACCGACAACCCGTCGGGGCGAATTTTGCACTGGGGTACTCAAAATTTGAAGAATTTAAGACGTTTCCATGAGTTTTGAAGGTATGGATAAGTTCTAAAAATCCGGTTCTCCTTATCTGGGCCATTAACTCCATACGGTCCAAGAAAGCTGGCACACTACCTTTAAGTTTTTAAAGATAAATGTTTTTCTTCAACTAGCTTCAACAAAATCAATTTGCTGACGCATAAATAGACGTTGCATTTACCTGAAAGCTTGAACATCTGTACAGCTACTACTTATGTAAGCATTCCAATTTACCTGTGTCGTCAGTTCGTCTGCATGGGCGGCACTCCGCGACGGATGGAGCAGTTTGCGCACTTTATCATGAAGGAGATCGGCTACCAGCTGCCCACCGGCGCCCAGCTGCTCGACATCTCGCTGCACTCGTACAGATACTCCATGTTCAAAGTCGGACCGGTGCTCTCAGTCAGCGTAAGCGGCAGCGATCGCGTGGGCAGAGCTAAATGTGCGAAACGGTGTGCTCTTTGTTGTCTAATTTTATCTCGCAAGTTCCTTTGTAGATGAACTGAATAGAATCCGTTTTCTAAAAGTCAAACAAAGATCTCTGGATAATCACGTTGTTAATTTCCATAAAAGGTTTCTAAATTTAGATTTGAGAGGAAGAAAAATTATCGCAGAATTTTATTTAATCGCTCAAGTTATTTGTTACGGATGTTTCGTTTAACTTTCTGAATAACACATGCTTATCAGCCGAAAACTGGTGCTCGAAAACATTAGCGTCGCCACGGGGGGGCAAGCGGGGCAACTTGCCCCCCAACCTCTGACCGTGCACCCCCTGACATCGATACAGATCCGATGAGATTTTGGAGTCGGGAAAAAATGGGGGTACCTTTCTGAGAATGCCTGTGAGGTCAGACTCGGTTTGAGCGTGCAGTTCAAACCAGAGTCTGACTCGCAGTCGCCAAAATCTTCAAGACTCCGAGTCCAGACTCGGAAATGTTAACCCGCGCCCCGTAGGGCTACCGGCGGACCCTACCACTCGTAGGGGGGGGGGGGGCAGGGGCGTCGCCACGGATTTTTGAGTGGGGGGGTCGGGTTTCCGGTCTTCGTCTTGATGGGTAGGGGTGTTTTCAGCCACACTCCCGGTTTTTTTTTTCGTGTGCCCGGAGAAAAACCTCGGCGCGCAGCGCCGCGAAAGCAGCGGTATATCTTATTGTACATAAATTTTGCATCGTGCATAAAAATCAAGCAGCGGTCACCTGAGGTCAGGTCACAATGTCATGTCAAGTTCAGTTTTAATGCCTCTTAAAACTGCAATCTTGTCATTCCTACAGATTATCTCCTTACTCCTATAAGTCTGAAATTTGGTGTAATGAATGGGATTATAAGTGCCAACAGTTCATGAATCTGGGATTTTACATCTGAGAAGCGAAGTCAGGTCAAATAGGTATGTGAGCTAGATACTTTTGTAGCCATGGCACCTTGTTCATTTTAGAGATAAGGTGCAGCTAATGACCAGTGGTGACTGAAATGGTCAGTCATTAGGTCATCAAAGGTCTCTAACACATTTTCGACAACAACTTTTGATGGAGACGTTGTAGAGCGATGACAGCACCTGGAGTGTGTTCAGCTCAGTAACACGGATCGATCCATATGCAGCAGGTTCTTTTCCGGTCAGGTCATGACCTTTACCTGATATCAAGTTTTCTATTCAAGTTTTTAAGTTCAAATTGTAAGCCATGCGACGTGTTTCGACGAAACAAAAACGATGGTGATAACATGAATATCATACACATTCACTGAATCATAGGTTGTTACAGAACAAATGTTTCGGCAAAATCCGTCCGTTTAGCTGTTTGGACTCTATGGTACACAAGCCATAGACCCGAAGTCATATCTGAGGCGAAGTTGGCGAAAGAGCTTTAAAAAGCTATCGAATACGCTTTATGTGTTGCTGTAGCTCTTATTCGTATTTTGCGGGTCGCTAAGGTAAAACGTTTACCAACGTAACGCATAAGGCATGCTTTCGGCCCCTGATCGACGTAGAGTTTCGCGGAAGAGCGAAAATGCTGCCCGTGATGAGAGAAAGCCGATGATGCCCAATTTCAAGGTCTTGGCCGCGTCATCTTAGGTCAACGCCCAAAAGTAGGAAAAATCTGGCCGCCTGCTAGAACTTAGTGAGCCGTAGCTGTTATCGGGGTCCCGAGTACGAGTTCGATGTTAGTCTTGAACAAAGATGATGACTCCATGCATTTCGGGTAGATCGGGTCGGGTCAGGTCAGGTCGACCAGCAGACTTCCTGCCGGCCATCTAGAGTGGGTGACTGACAACCACCAACGATAGCTTCGTAACATGTTACATAACCATAATTTATCAAAACTACTTCAAGCGGTTCAAACGGGCGTTAACCCTATTCCTGGCGGGGGGGCCTCAGGAGCCCCCCCCCCTGAGGTTTTTTGGTTATTTCTCCCAAACGCATTGAGCTAGGAAGCTCAAATTTTCTGACTTTTCCTAAAAGGCTTCTACGCAACATGTCTGAAAATTTTGAGTTAATCTGACCTCAGGTCAGGTCACCAGAGGTGGTTTGGTGACCCTACCTCAGAAAAGTTTGCAATCACGCCAGAGCTAGAGTTTTTGACCGATCAATTTCTTCTCTTCAGGCTTTAGTTAGGGTACCAGTATGTGCAATTTGTTTATCTCGAAATTTTGATATCGGTGACCTAAGGTCAGGTCAGTCTCGCGACCTCCCCATTATAAGTCAATGGGGGGAAAAATCAACTCCCTGTTTTTACCACTAAAACGGGTCGGAATGGCCCCATATACCATACATGACTTCATATACGATCAACCTTCACTACCTTGAGGTCTGTTTTGCTGTTGGGCAGCTGTGAGGTCATGTGACGTCATCAAAGGTCACCAAAGGTTTTTGGCTAATAACTCCGTACAGGAACAAGATACAGACGCGTGGATGGTCTCATTGTGTTCAGCTCGTCAAGACGCATCGAATGATATACATAATGACCTCGAGGTCACGTGACCTGAGGTCAACCTTTGACCTTGACCTTTCGAGGTCAACATATATATCATTCGATGCGGATTGACGAGAGGATCACGATGATGCCCTTAGTTTGTTCCTATCTTGACTAATTCGAAAGTTATTCGAGAAAAACTATCCATATCTAGCGCCGCCATTTTGACTTTTTCGACCCCTGTGACGTCATCTTTGACCTGACCTGAAAATGACCTCGGTAAAAATTGTAGATCTTGACCGTGCGTATCCGATGCCGTTTACCGTTTGTCGCTGTGATGTGTAGTTTTTGAGATCTGAAGGGGGGGCCGAATCGCCCCCCCCCCGCCAGTTTCTTGTCCCGGCGGAGCCCGCCAGGAATAGGGTTAAACTCGAAATCAGCCCCCAAAACCACACTTGTAAGTGGAAGCAAATAAAACTCAAAAAAGTTTACCAAGGTCATCCATATTCGAATCAGGGCCAATTTTTTTAGAATAGGTGTAAAATTCATTAACACGGGGTCACTGGAAGTTTCGTTGCAATATACTCCTTTTTGCGCGTCTTATTAGGAAAGCCCCAGAGGGATCCACCATCTGACCCCATTTCCCCTATGCAGGCAGGTCCGAGGGTAGCAGGGCTGAGGCTAGCCAGGTACCTCGTAGTTACTGATACGTCATCCGATGAATCGACTGCAACCATTATTTTGACAATCAGACGAACGCTTGGGTCAGTTTTGAAGCGCTCGCTCATTTGAGGGATAAAAAGGGACTAAAATCATATTGTCATGCTGATGTTGTAGCCCACAGCTTATTGACCTATAAGCAATAGGGACTAGGGAGCTCTTGAAGCGATTCTGAATCTCACGTGGTATTTGTTGATGTTGCTGACGCCAACTTCCCTGACATGATAGCTAAAAAAAGCATACTCAGCATCGCCAAAAGTGGGGGGTCGACCCCCCCGGTTCTGACGAGTGGGGGGGTCGCGACCCCCCCGACCCCCCCGTCGGCGACGCCCCTGGGGGGGGGGGGGCCGTTTCGGCCCCCCCTAAGATCTCGGAAAGTTACCGGCCGATTTTCAAAATTCAAACGGCGTTCGATAGCCCCACCCGAGAACTACCTTGTGACCAAATTTCATTGACCTAGGTCAAACCGATGACGTCACAGGTCAGGTCAAAGGTCAGATTTTCACCGTTCACAGGCAATTCAAGAAATGTGCTGTGAAAGCGAGTAAATTGGTAATTTATTGAAAACCATCGATGGTACATTGTTCGTCAAACACATACTTTGCTATCTGAGGTCACTGATACCAGGTCAGGTCACAGCGAGGTCAGGTCACCGGGGGTCACAATATGAATGTGTCGTGTGATACATGTTTTATGGTCCATTTTACATGACAAATGCGATTATGTGGGTTAGGCAGCCTTTGGGGGCAGCCTAGGTCACGTTTTTGTGAAGGTCAGGTCAAATTAGGTCAAATTTCAAAGTTGATATTTTTGCATAAAATGGGTATCGATTCGATGCAGCTTGTCACGGGGAGTCTAATGGTGGTCTTCGTTTTGCTCTACGAGTTCTAGAATTGCCAAAAATTGAGTTTGAAAATTTGACGTCATCATTTTTGAACAGTTTTTTCGCTATAACTTGGCCAAAAAACGAGGTATCGATCTGAAATTTGGTATGTAGATAGAAGACGGTAGGCACTATCACATATATTCCGGTTTTTTCGAAACTCAAAATTTTTTTTGGATTTTTTTGCGAATATATCCAAAAAAATGCTTTTTTGATTTTTGGGGGTCAAAACTCAAAAATTTCAAAAATTCGAGATAGCAGTTTTGTAGCCCTGTCAATTCTACACCTTTTATGTCTTGATCATTTTTCTGTATCTTCAAAGCTGTAGTCCTGACAGGTCTTCTCGCGAAGGTCTTTTTTCGGTCGAAAATGACAGAACATGACGTCACTCTGACGTCATTTGTGGCCAACCTATCATAGCCTCTGGAAAAATTTTTGGTCACAATGTGTAAAATTGATGCCCGGAGGGGTCCTGAAAGTTTGGTGGCGATATCTCCAGCCGTTTAGGAGATATCGACCGAAAAGGACAGGGGGGCCGTTTCGGCCCCCCCCCTACGGGGCGCGGGTTAATGCTGTGATTCATTACATGTTCCTAGTTCGTTCTTTATTACATTTTACAGCTGATTTTCATAAGTTTTGGAGTGCTGACACAATTTTTGTTCAAAGCGTGAAACGAAATCTTCGGGGCCTTTCTCAACTCGTCAAATGTCTGCGACAGGCTCAAGTACCTACCGTACAAGTGTCGCAGGGCTCATGAGCTTGCTTTAAACAAAGGCTCCTAAGGAGCTCCAGTGAGCCCTAAAGAAGCTTTCAGAGGGCCCAAACCGGCCTCTGAAAGTCCCACTGGTGTTCATGTTCTCTGAGGGCCCATACAGGGATCTTTGAGCCTTCGAACATTTCTGAGAACCTTAACTGGCCTCTGATAGTTCAGCCAAATTTTTGAGGCGACAGACTTTGCCAACCCCAAGCCGGCATCTGAGGGGTCACAGCCCACGTGTCCCTCTGAGGTCCGCAACACATGTTTATTATGTCCCTACGTAGGGTCCTTAGGGATTCGACACAGACCCCGAGGGTTCACACTGCTATCCGAGGGCTCCAGGCTCACCCTGGGCTTAGTCTCTTAGCGCCCGCCGCCCACACTGCTTCTGAGGGCCCCACCTTGGGCTCGGAAAGCCCTAAAGCACCACGTACACGTAAATATTTGAGGTGACCCACGTCGATCTCCGGGATCCTAAGCAGGCTTCTGAGAGTCAGTACTGACCCTGAGTGGCCTGAAATGGCCTGGAAGTCACAAACCTATCTCTACGGGATCCCTTGCCGCTATGCCGTGCGTTACTTTTGGTTCCGTTTAACAGTTTTTGTTCGCGTTTGCAGCGCTTCCCTTCACACGAAAAACGAGAAACTTTTGTTCACACTCGAGTGAACAATACACTTCATCTCACTGAAGCAAAGATAAATTACTTCCGAATTCCGATTCACACTTCCGACATTCACTCTCCGCCGAATGCCCAACTTAGCTACGATCGGCGGCTGGGAAAAGTCCTATGCATTTCACGTAAAACCTCTGCATGCATGCGTGAATGGAGGTTCTAGCAGGGTGATCCGATTAAATGGAGCGTTTTTCACCTCTTAATGGGTAATGATCATGAGCATCGAGCGTCTGCACAGGGGCCCTCTGCAGTGCGTCGGCAATCGCAGCCACTATAATTCTACCAGTCGTTTTGTTATGAAATTTCAAAATTTCGAATTTTTCTGTAAAAAATTACATGTCATAGCTAGAAGGAAACCTTTGTCACCATCGGATTCCTCGCACCATTGCGCGTCGAATGATATGTAAAACGAGTGAGTAAAGACTGGGGAAAGGCAAGTTTTGACACAAAAGTTGATTTTGCCCCCCCAACCGACAATCTCTGGCGACGCCTATGCTCGAAAAACCGCGACATGACGGGTCACTTATATCGCCGGCAGCATGGTATGGGCATGCCGTCTGTGGGCATCCTACTACACGAGATGATCAAGTTGATGTACCACGCCCGGGTGAAGAACCCGACGTTCTTCCGTCTGGGCACGTGCGGCGGCATCGGCATCGACGGCGGCAACCTGGTCATCACGGAGAGCGCCGTGGACGGCCTGATGAACCCCTACCTGGAGCAGGTGCGGCTTAGCGGTGGTGCCAATCGCTCTGACTTACGGGTTGTAGGCAGGCATAGCATCGTTTGGTCATCCCTTCGTGATAATTGACGTTGACAAAATGAAAAAGCATGTACGCGGGAGCGCCCGAGGTTGGTGATTCGGCTGAGAATGTCTTTACGCTTCTTACGTAGTGTGTATGCTAGTGTACGAGTATGACCGACAAGTGCGTTCACCAGGCAATCCTGGGAGAGATCCAGAAGCGTCCTGGTCTGCTGGACCCCGAGCTGGCTGCCGAACTGAAGGCACTGTCCACCCCTGAAGACCCGTGGCAGATCTACTCTGGGAAGACGATGTGCACAACAGATTTCTACGAAGGTAACACGGATCTCGTTCTAGTATTGTGTTGCGTTTTGCAACCTACTTATCTTGTAATTGAACGGCTCCGTTTGAGCGGGAAACTTGCATGCGCTTGAGAAAACATGAAAGATGTCGTGCTATTTATGGTGCGATTGTGTTATAATGCATCTACAATTGATCACGCCCCAGGTCAGGGCCGGCTGGACGGCGCCTTCTGCGACTACACTGAGGAGGACAAGTTTGACTTTCTGCGTAAGATCCACGCCGAGGGCATCATCAACATGGAGATGGAGTCTCTGATGTTCGCCGCGCTGTGTCACCACGCCGGCATCCGCGGAGCCGTCATCTGCGTCACCCTGCTCAACAGGATGAAGGGCGATCAGGTGAGGAAGCTGACCGCCTTACTTCAATCTGGTATATGTTAATTCAATGCCTTTGGTATGATGACTATTGACTAACTTTGGCTAGCTCGGTTCTGACGCTAATCGGTCGCCGTTTTCAGGTGACTGCCGAGAAGTCCCAGCAGATGGAGTGGCAGGAGTACCCTCAGCGGCTGGTGGCGCGCTACATTCGCCAGCAGCTGGAGGCGGCCGATGGGGTCGGCTCGGGGGCCGGCGGTCTGATCCGCTCGCTCTCACAGCTGCACCTGACCAGACAGACGTCTGAGCAGTTCGCCAGCTCCGAGTAGGAGCCGTGCCGCCGTACAGCCGAACAGCGCCGCCGAACTCAGTGTCACCCTCGACCGGACCGCCACCGCGCTGTAGCCGTCCGTCGCTTCAGCTGCAGCACTGAATTCAGTTACCGATATTCCGAGCAGCGAGCAGTAGCTGTCGCTATAACCACGCGCCATATAACCCCCCGCCAGTGTACTGCACCTGTGATCTCAGTGGCGATATACGGCCACGTCTATAACGCGGGGCCAGAGAAAACCTATAAGGCATTCCATAAGAATCCAATCTGTGATCGGTTGGGATCGGGTCGTTCCTCGAAATGAGCTTCTTAGTGTAAGGTATAGATAGGTCGGTTAGACCAGATGACTGCCATCTTACTAGTCTGATGATCTCGATAAATTTTCGTGTAATTCTAGTCATGCGATCTGTTATTGTTTTGCTTGTTTTGTGTTTGAGCCTATACGTAAACTCTATTTAGCTTTAGCGCACAATAGACCTGCCCATTCGGTAGGGTAGCAATCGTTTTATCTCATTCAGGAATATGAATCGTTGATATACAACTAACTATAAGCACACTTCGTGCGAGGTCGTTGGTGAAAACACGCGGGTGACATGGCGGAGACCAGGAAGGGCTGGTTGTTGTATTGTTGTGACGTAAAGCTGGATTGGTGTGAGTGCTTGTTGTCATGCTGACATCCACTCTGTCTTCTTGTGGTGACTTCTGAAGCGGGTTGGTTGAAAGGTCAAGTGTCGAAACAGCTCAGCGAATGAAATAATTGGACGCACTGTGTGTGTTTGTCAAAATGAATTGTTCGCATTCCAATCAAAACTAAATCTATTTTGCTATCTCGATGCTTAGCTAGTGAGTGCTTGAGTAAGAAACTGGTGGACTGTATCTATCCAGGTTAGTGAGCCATTAAACATCCAAGCAAAGTGGCGCAGGTCCTCAGAGTTGGTATACGGCAGATAATAAATCAAAAGCGCGTTGCTTTGCAAGTGCACAAGAGTAGACAGTTTTGCCATGTGTAGCTTCACTGCTGTAGACCAATGGCCATCAAAAAATATAATAAACATGCCTCAGCCAACGCTACTGGGTGTGTTGTATGGTCAAAAGAAACAGGGTTCATTTCATTGTGGTATTGAATCAGTAGTCCACGAACTGTTTGCGCGTGTATACCTCGGGACTGGGGCGAAGTTTTAATTGTTTGAACAGACTCGGTTCAAATGCATTGATTTATATAGGCTCCATTTTAACTTGCAACTACTTGGTTTGCCAGTAGGCCTACTAAAAGCCTGCCAGTTATTGAGAGGTCAGCCCCATTCCTGCAGTCGTTAAGAACTAATGCCACTTGGATGGGCTAGGTTGGCACCAATATCTGGAGCTTAGTGTGCTATAATCTGGTCACGTCAGCCGCCATAGCCTTCGCAGGGGTGTTTGTAATGCATACCGCCGTCGTTATTAACAGCATAACTCGCGATCATGGGTGAGGCAAGACACATGCCAATTGTCCTAGAAATGATGAGCTTTCTTCACGAGTTTCAGGGCTTTTAGACCTTGCGGTCATATGGTGGTAGTTATTGATCGAGCTGAAAGAGGTCAAAGTCTTGCATTTTAGGTAAAATAATGAGAAAAAGAGCAATGCTGAATTTCATTCATATTAAATTTTCATTCACACACTCTGAAGCTATCATATTTTTCATGTTTCGCAGACTCCCGGGCACAGTCGTCTGTGTATTATTGCATGGACACACGATTGAATAACAAGCCAATGCCGTATCGCCCCGTGCCCGTGTGAGGGCAGTACAAATGTGACGTCGCCGGCGCGCCGGGGTCGGTCGGCCGGCAGCGGCCGCCTCCCGGGTACCTGCACTGATTGCACTCGCCCGCCGGGGTACCGGCGCCCGGCACCCGGCCGGAAACAGGTGTACATTGTACACAACGCAGTCGCCTGGATCGGTAACACAGACGGGGAGAGACTAAAAAAGACGGGAGCGTGCTGGCCGCCGTCGGCCAGCGCTCCGAAAGGACATGGTTCAATCTCACCGGGCCGGCCGTGTCAGGGGCGAGCTGCACCGGCGCTTGGTCTCCAAGGATTTGGTACAATGTTACTTGCACACCGTGGAAGAACACTGGAGCAGTGAGCTATGTACAGATGCAAGAACACTAGCGCTAAAACCCATCTGAAAAACAAACAAGGGGGCAGCATACAACACAAATCAAAGACATGGTGTTGGAAGACACCCGTTCTCTGTGACAAAGGAGCCCGGACGCTGACGGAAGCCAAACAGCCGTCCGGGGCCGCAGCCAGCTGCCTGGGAAGACCCAACAACAAATGTCCTGTCCGTATCGACAAATGGACAGTCTAGACAGAGCCCCGAAATAAAGTGCCGCTCAATACTGTCTCACACATCAATCAATGGACTTCCGGGTAAGGGAAAGGAGACGGGGATCAAGGGTCGGAGGACGGTCACTTAGAACAAATAGGTACGCGTCAATGACAAAACTGTGAAAACTTTGATTTCAGCACCAACAAAATTAGCTGCTATCCAAGTTACGCGTGTTACCACGAAAAACAATTTGCATAGTCACCTCTAAGCTGTAACTAACAAATAACGAAAAATATTGACAGATGTTAAGGAGAAGCGCGAATTTCTTGGAAAGAAGTCCCAATAGCATTTTTTGCGCTAATTCTATTCAGATTCACAAATTGGACGTTACACCTTTTGTAAAATTCGCAATATCGCTAATTCCAAACAAGGCTTAGTGAATAGGCAATAAGAAGCATAGTTTATTTAACGATCTAAATGTTAAAACTAGCTTATTTTTCAGGACAGATAGCCCACCGATTACGGTGTCAATGGTCTGATTTTCTGAAATGAGCGCTTGTACGTAATTTGAAAGAGGCAGTGAAACGCTCGTCTCAAATATTTAAGCATCAGAATTAGTTCATGGGTCACGACACTTTTTGTTCAAGTACTACTGCATAAGACAACGTTTTCCTCAGCAGGTATTGCTATTGTATAGCAACAAAATGTGAATTTAGTTTCAGAATTTGTTTGTACGGTTTTTCTTGTCGCGCTGATATCGTGTTGCAAAAAAGTTGAAAATATAAGATGTGCTTGCCAGAGCACTTGTCCAGCTCTGTCTAGTGAATCCAGTACGTGAACCAAGAAATAACCACACCTGGGGTCGACAATCAGAAACAACGTAGGGTAGATATTGCCCCGGCAAAAACAAAATGCACCATATGCCTCGAAACTGATTTCAACACCCAACGCACCACGTTCCTTTCACTTCCTGTCTTCACGGCGTCTGGTGCCAGCACAATGATACAAAATGGATGAGTGCCCCGGCCGCCCAGCAGCTCCTTACCGCACCACAACACGCCGGGCCGCCGTGGCAGCCCGCACCCCTCACACAGACATCGCACGCTCGTAAATGTATGTAGGTCTTCACTAGACCGGCTCCAACAAACGACTGGTCTCGCCTCTGACCGCAGCTGGCTGACGGAGGCTCGAAACGGCCCGTTCGCACGGAACAGGCGCGAAATTTACAGCCAGCCTGTTCGGCGGCTGATGGTGGGTGACCCTGTCTGCCGGCTCATCTGCAGCCCGATTTATACTTTATAGCCTCTCTGCTCGGTGCCAGCCATCAAGCCACGCCCGCACCGCGCTGGGCTCCGTTTGAACACTGAGTCGCCGTATCTGACCGCCGCTGCACTCACAGCGGCGTGGACAGCCGGGGCCTTACGAGCGGTCACGTGACTGCCCGAGGCGGAGTCAGGGCGGCCACGTCCCACGACGGCAGTTCAATGACCTGGCCAGCCGCAAACGATGCCATGAAGATGGGGCTGCAACGGGAGCGACCCGGGTCGGTCCAGTCGTCAACAGGCACCAAACCCTGGCGAAAGGAGCGACCCCGTCAGTGGCGAAAAAATCGGCACAGTTTCAGATGCTCTAAGGGAGGGGGATGGCTATATGAGGGACCGAGTATAAGTATTTTCTTTTTACGGACAATAGCCTCCACATGCTGAATGCGTGTATTTCAATAAACAAAAAGAAAAAATTATGCTTGAACCGAAATAAAAACACTTCAAATGAAAATGCAGGTTCACAAAGCGTTGGAAAGGAAAGAAAAATAACCAGTTGGGAACTATGCTTCTTTTAGGAAACTCAAAAGGATCGCACGTGCACGTACCTCAACAAGAAACACTATCGTTCTGAGGCGTGTCCTCATAAGATCACTTCCATCTTGTTGGCCCTCCGAATGATGCGGATCTGACCGGGAGGCATGTCAGGGTGGCCAGATGCCTTGAACGAGAACACCACATCGCTCTGGCCAAAGTTCGCCTCGAACCTGTCGACAAAACAGATGGCATGTTGAACACGTTAAATAGCGTGTTCAGGAATAGAGTAGAGTTGTTTCGAACTCAGCGACCGCTAATGGTTATGAGCCGCGCATAAATAAAAGGTTACAGGGTCGGGCAGCAAACACCAAACAGTGAACACGCACGTCCTAATAATGACGGGTATCGGAAAAATCAACGCACGCTACCCTGCCCTCCACTGTCCCGTCGATCCAGCCACCCGACTCACTCTGTGTCGATGTTGATGTCCGGCGGCTTCCCCGTGGCATTCTGGATCACCAGAAATAGTTTGGTGACGATTTCGATCACGTGGCCGGTTTGGAAGACGAGGTCGCCCTTGCGGTGCTTGCTACCGCTGTCGCCGCCTCCCATCAGACAGCCCGGAAGGTTGGGCTCCTCGACAGTGGTTTCGCGTGTCGGCGAATGCTGCCGCGCGTGACGGATTAAGGTCAGAGAAGGGACGTCGCTGTGTGCTGTTTGTCATTCAGCTACCGGTTGACGAACGGATCTAACGTGTAGGTTCAATCGTCTAATGAAGCTGACGGAGCCCGGCTTGTAGCCGTATTGGGCGCCACGTGGTAGGTAGACTGTGCCGCATTACATATGAGCGCTGCGGAACATACACCAGGCGGCTGCCGCTTCGCTCACACAAACCTGGCAGCTCTGCGCCGGGGTAAAGACATAGCTTTTAGCGGTAATCGAAACTAGACATGCGACATGAGGACAGCAGGCACGTAGCTAGGATTTGGCCAAGGGAGGGGCGGAGGAATCCCGGGGGCCTCCTTTCTACAGAGGGCCTCCTCCCTAAAGGGGCCTCCTTTCTACAGAGGGTCTCATGCCTACATAATTACATATACAATATAATGCAGACTTTTGTTCAGCTTTCATATGGCCAGCGCACTGGTATGTTTCTTTATTCTAACCGCTGCAGCGGTAAGAAACATAGGCACGCATATCCCAAGTCTCCGAGTGGCATTGGCAAAAAAAACTTGGGCGCCGCCGGCGGCGGCGGCGGCGGCCGGACCGCAGCAGGAGGGGGAGGATCTGCGAGGAATGGGTGGATACTGGATGACGGCAAGAGTAACACTTGGTGTATTATCATATATCGTTCAAGCGCTTAACCGTATTCCGGGCGGGCTCTGAAAGACTCTGAATCGGGCGGGGGCCTTTTTGGCCCTCGTCATAACTCGAAAAGCACGAATCGTAGCGACTAGCGACAAACGGCAACGGCGTTTGATAGTTCGTTGAACGACTTACAACTTTTGTAAACAACTTTTTTGGGTCAGGTCAATATTGAGGTCGCCAGAGGTCATCACAAATAATATGGTTTATAACGACCTACATAGATAGGTCAACTTCAAAATCTGACCTAGGAAGGTCACGCTGGGTACCAATCGGCGCGTCATGACCAGGCGAACGGTTTGGTACACTAACAACTATTTAGCCCCATCATGTCGTGATTTATTGGCTAAAAACTGTTGATGACCTCACCTCACCTCAGATGATCCTTACCGGTGCCCCTGTCAGTAAATGCCACCTGGGTGCTTACAGATCAGCTAATCTGACGTAATTCAGAAAGAATTGGGTGATTTTGACTCTTTTACTCGAAGCAGGACACCGTTCATTATATTTTCCAATAGGCTTGTCACGATTCTGACCTGACTGACGTCTGCAAGATTGAAACTATACGGTTATCAATTCTTTCTGTGTGAATGATGCCACGTTTACTTGCTGTAAGTAAAACATGGTTTCGTTAGTAAATTTTCCTAGGTCCAGGTGGTTTGCTTCATTTACGCCGTAGATGAAACAAACAAATCGATGGATAGGTATATATTAATTTCCCGGTCAAATGAATTATTATGAGTTGTGCGAATCATGGCTATGGGAATATCACCACGGTCTGATAAATGGTTTGGGTTATTTCATGCATCGTAAAAATACCAACACAGCCACAGGTAACTATATATTACAGAAATTGGCTGCTGTGTTCATGCATTAACCCGCGCCCTGCCGGGGGGGGGGGGGGTGTTAAACAGCCCCTGCAGTTTACCGTGAATATCTCAAAAACGGCGGCGCGCCACACTTTATCCTACATCATTTCTACATATGTTGTGAAAATTTCAGACCCTGGTCACTTAAAGTCAGGTCACCAGGTCAGGTCAAATGACCTCGCTACATAAGTTTCAATGTCTGCCAAAGCTACACGGAGTGACCAAACGCTTTGAAACTTTCAGAGATGCAAATGCACAAGAGCGACAAAATGCAAAAAATGTATGTCTTTGAATTTTGATATCGATGACATAAGGTCAGGTCAATTTTGCGAACTTAAATTGAAAGTCGCCTTTTTAGACGGAAGTCATTATAAACACTCTAACACACTGAATTACTAGTATACTATCTTTGACACACTGAACATGAAAATGGCACCCGTGACCCCTTTTTATAACCCTGAGGTCATCTCAGGTCACCAATGGTATCTGACTTTTTCGCGAATAACTTTTGATAGAGGCATGCTAGAACGATGAATACACCTTAGTTGTGTTTGGCTCGACGATACGGATGGACTGATATGGAACTTAGCCCTTATCGGTCAGGTCATGACCTTGACCTGAGGCCAAATTTTCAAGTTGACCTTTCAAGGTCAATTGATAGTTCATTCCACACGTCTTAACGAGAGGAACACGATGCTGGTAAAGGGAAGTTCATGCAAATTTTGAGACGAAAGTTATTGCCGAAAACTGGTTTCCGAAAATATCGGCTATTTTGGCAGTTTTTGCGGCCACTGCAGGTAAAACCGTTGACGGCAAAACCGTTGACGGCACCCGGCATGATTTCTCTGAGCGCATTTATACAAATAATTTGTCTACATAGGATAGGGCCTTCTGTTTACAGAGGACCTCCTCCCCTGTCCCTTCCTACAGTGGGCGGCGACGCGGTTGGGAGTCTATTCTGTACAGTTTCCTGAGTTCTCAGTTATAGTGAGAACTGAGAACTCTCTATAGAGAGTAGCAGGGAACAGAAGCCGGAAGGTAATTTGCTTACAGTGGGCCTCCACTCTTGTACTTAATATACGACGCTGTCTTTGACTACCGGGGGCCTCCTGCCCACAGAGGGCCTCTTATCTACAGAGGGCTTACTCTCTACAGATTGCCTCTTATCTTCAGAGGGCCTCATCTCTGCTGAGGGTGTCTTTCTCTCCAGAGGGCCTCCTTTACAGAGGGCATCCTCTCTACAGAGGGCCTCCTCTCTAGTCTCTACAGGGACCTCCTCTCTACAGAGGGCTTCCTATCTATGTAGGGCCTCCTCTCTTCAGAATCTCGTCTCCACACAGGACCTCCTCTATACAGAGGACCTCATCTCTGCACTCAAAACTTTTTACTACCTCCTGGAGAGTTCATTTTCATCAAACCCGCAAGATAATAGTATATTGAAAGGGTAACTCGCTGCTACCATTATGTGCATAGTAACGGTACGCGGTTAATATGAACTTATTCGCCAGCGAAGAGTATTATTACCATGTAAATATCAATATTACTCTCGCGATCCAGAACATCACGAAAACTCTTTCCTCCTGGGTATCGTGACTCGGGTACAGATAGTCGTTTCATGCGTGGATTTGTTTACCCTCGTGAAGATGATATTTGAAATGGAAACAATCAGCCAATCAGAAACGAGATCGGCCGTTTGCGGTTTGAAGGCCGCGCGCATCTGTCAGTTTTCGGCCGTTGGTCTCCGAGAGCGGATGTGAGCAGTGTCGGTGCCGCGCGGCGTGGCCGTTGGTGATTGTGCTTGTGTGTTGTTCATCGCCTATAGAGCCTCTGTGGACATTTTATTGTAAGTACCGATGTGCTAGAGCATTGCGTGCCGTTGAGTGGTGCTAATTTGACCTGGTTAACAGGACCCCGTGCACGGCCACGTGGCCTAGTGAGTACGTACATTAATTTTGTTGTGATGCTACAAGTTTATGCATTTTGTTGGTGACTTTGAAAAAGCCTTGCACTGTTGTGATCCAGTCTCATTATCCCACGCAGACGGGCGACCACCCAGGAACGCCGTCGCTCACTTCAAATATTGTGCGCTCTGCCTAATCCAATATGAGGGCGCTGAATGTCTTGTATTCATATTCAAATTGCATTCAAGTTGTATCGTGGTGTTTATTTACCGCTTGTGTATTGCTGAACGCTTTGTATAAATTTGTATGAATAAGTGAAGAGTCTCACAATGTTCATGGTTGGTGTGCCCCTCGTATTGTTTGTACGGAAGCCAAATATACCTACATTGTTGCTCTTGAAGCATTTTTTTTTTTGGTTGGTGAGCTCCGGTTAACAGAAGCTTCGTGAAGCTTCTGAAGGAAGCGTCTGTGGGTCTGTTACCATCCTCTGGGGGGTTTACACTAAAGGAAAGAGTAAACATTACCATGAGACAAAGGGTAGGCCATAAGAATATACTCTCTGTAGGAGGGTAAAGCACAGAGTAGATGATGCGTTACTCCCTAAAAAAGGGTTCCGTTAAAGATTTACCATTTCAAAGAGTGTAACCCAAAAAATGTTACACTCTAGACAAGAGTAAATCAAAAGAGTTTACCATTCAGACGATGGTAAAAAACGTCTGTGTGTCATGTTACCCCTCCCTGGCGAGTTTACTCTTCATGAAAGAGTAAAATTTACCATCTGGAAGGTGGTAAAAAACGTCTGTGTGTCAAGCTACCATGCTATGGCGGGTTTACCCTTCAGGAAATGGTAAAAAAGTTTTCAGTGTGCAAAGGGCCTCCTCTCTTCAGAGGGCCTTCACTCTACAGACGGCCTCCTACCTACAGAGGACCTCCTTTCTACTGAGGGAGTCTTCCTCTACAGAGGGCCTCCTCTCTTCAGACAATCTCCTCTCTACAGAGGGCCTCCTCTCTTCAAAGGGCCTTCTGATTTCAGACGGTTTCCTCTTAACAGAGGGCCTGCTCTCTACGGAGGGCCTCCTTTTTACAGAGGGCCTCTTTTTACAGAGGGCCTCCTTTTTGCAGAGGGCCTCCTCTCTACAGGGGGTCTCCTCTCTAAGGGGGCCTCCTCTCTACACAGGGCCTCCTACCCACAGAGGGCCTCCTCTCTACTGAGGAGTCAGAGGGGCCCTGGCGGTCAGACACAGACACTAGTGGTTATTCACAGGAGATGAGAAGGGCCCTAGCTGTCACTTGTCAGGCTGGTCAGAGGGCCCTGATTGTTCTGACGCCATTTTTTAGATTCCTGCACTGAAAACTTTTTTACCATTTCCTGAAGGGTAAACCCGCCATAGCATGGTAGCTTGACACACAGACGTTTTTTACCACCTTCCAGATGGTAGATTTTACTCTTTCATGAAGAGTAAACTCGCCAGGGAGGGGTAACATGACACACAGACGTTTTTCACCATCTTCTGAATGGTAAACTCTTTTGATTTACTCTTGTCTAGAGTGTAACATTTTTTGGGTTACACTCTTTGAAAGGGTAAATCTTTAACGGAACCCTTTTTTAGGGAGTAACGCATCATCTACTCTGTGCTTTACCCTCCTACAGAGAGTATATTCTTATGGCCTACCCTTTGTCACATGGTAATGTTTACTCTTTCCTTTAGTGTAAACCCCCAGAGGATGGTAACAGACCCACAGACGCTTCCTTCAGAAGCTTCTTCGTTAACCGGAGCTCACCAATTAAAAAAAAAATGTTTCAAGAGCAACAATGTAGGTATATTTGGCTTCCGTACAAACAATACGAGGGGCACACCAACCATGAACATTGTGAGACTCTTCACTTATTCATACAAATGTATACAAAGCGTTCAGCAATGCACAAGCGGTAAATAAACACCACGATACAACTTGAATGCAATTTGAATATGAATACAAGACATTCAGCGCCCTCATATTGGATTAGGCAGAGCGCACAATATTTGAAGTGAGCGACGGCGTTCCTGGGTGGTCGCCCGTCTGCGTGAGATAATGAGACTGGATCACTACAGCGCAAGGCTTTTTCAAAGTCACCAACAAAATGCATAAACTTGTAGCATCACAACAAAATTAATGTACGTACTCACAACACTAGGCCACGTGGCCGTGCACGGGGTCCTGTTAACCAGGTCAAATTAGCACCACTCAACGGCACGCAATGCTCTTAGCACATCGGTACTTACAATAAAATGTCCACAGAGGCTCTATAGGCGATGAACAACACACAAGCACAATCACCAACGGCCACGCCGCGCGGCACCGACACTGCTCACATCCGCTCTCGGAGACCAACGGCCGAAAACTGACAGATGCGCGCGGCCTTCAAACCGCAAACGGCCGATCTCGTTTCTGATTGGCTGATTGTTTCCATTTCAAATATCATCTTCTCGAGGGTAAACAAGATCCACGCATGAAACGACTATCTGTACCCGAGTCACGATACCCAGGAGGAAAGAGTTTTCGTGATGTGTTGGATCGCGAGAGTAATATTGATATTTACATGGTAATAATACTCTTCGCTGGCGAATAAGTTCATATTAACCACGTACCGTTACTATGCACATAATGGTAGCAGCGAGTTACCCTTTCAATATACTATTATCTTGCGGGTTTGATGAAAATGAACTCTCCAGGAGGTAGTAAAAAAGTTTTGAGTGTGCGTGAATTTCGTTCGCCTCCGACGTGATTTTGGCCAACGTGGGCCTTCGGCCCACGTTGGATTCAGGCCGAAAGGATTCAGGCCAACGTGGGCCTTCGGCCCACGTTGGCCTGAATCCTTTCGGGGGGGGGCCTCCTGAAAACCCCAAGGGAGGGGCGGGCGCCCCCTCCGCCCCCCCCCTTGGCTACGTCCCTGGAGGACAGCACATGTATTCACAGTTACTAAGGATAGACGAGCAAGTAAAAATGTCTAACGTGTTATGAGCTGATGTATATTGCGCTTGGCATTGTGCTGGATTCATAACATGCATTTACTCTGCTCTCGTATGGTGTGAGTGCAAAGCAAAAAGCAATGCTCTGATGCCGGTCTATACATACAATCTAGAGAGTCGACTCACCGCTCGCACGTGGAAGACAGCGATGTCGTCCAGGAAAGGACTCAGCGAGATCCGGTAGATCTCCGGCGCCGGAATGCGGTACTTGATCTGCATGGTGCGCTGATCCAGGATCAGCATTGAGCTGGTGCTCAGCACGAACAGCACGGGCACGAACTGTCGGCGGGGCAGCGTCAGCACCGGGGGTTCCCAAAGGGGCTGATGGGGCTGATGGGGTTACCGCTGCAAGAATGGAAAGGTCGCTGCGATGCTTATATTTTTCGTTTTAATTGGATCATGTCAGATTGTTTTCACTTTAATGTGCTCCCTTGCATAACAACGATGAACTATTATGCAGTGACCGATGCAATATTTGATGATATACAAACATCGCATTCACGACAATGCTACTGCCGAGATTAGTTTGTATGCATAATTTGACTGTAAGTTTGCTGCTGAATAAATCGGAAATTACCACAAAATGTTAACGGAATGAGTAAAAAGTAAATCTAGCCCGTACCTTTCCACTTGATCGAGCAATTTTGTTAATGATGTCGGCGAACACAACATATTGATCGTTGCTTTGCGCCGACATTTTCTTCCACTGACTGTTCTGCCGAAGTCGGACGTAGTCGCCCAGAAAAGGATGACCGATACTGGAAATTTGCATGCCCCAGAAGCGTTAGTTCACATCCCACACCACACTGAGTTTCCGTCACACCATGCGCGTTAGTTGTCCACGAAATCGGCACACAAACGCACATGAGGCACACTTGGTCATTACCACCACCAAAAAGCGCCTTTTCCAACTAAACTGTAAAACATAGCCCAGCGCAAGTGCAGAAACTGGGGGAGCGGGAGGGGTGGGCACAAACCAAACACATGCATTCTTATTGTCTGATCATCATGTCTGCGAATAAGCGCCAGACATTATATCAGGCACATGTGCAGTGATCAGGAACAAATAGTTTGGATACCGAATGTTTTTTTTTCGGCCATAAAGAAATAATTAACAATGAGTGCAATGAAAAATACCTTGTATTATCATCTAATGTGTCCGAAATCCAGACTACGTCTCTAAAACAGTCTCCTTAATGTAACAACATATCAGACCGTAATAAGCCTCGCTGCAATTTACTGGTAACCTCCAAATGACAACACAGCTCTCATTCCAACCCAGTAGTCGTCATGAACGTATGGCAAAAAGGCATAGCTTAAAGTTGCTGGATAACGTCCCGTATCGCCGGTCCCGTAGCTCAGTTGGTAGAGCGTTGGACTCCGCGTGGTGAGAGCACGCGTTCCCGGTTACAACAGTCCGGGTTCGAAGCGCGACGGGCGCTTGACATTTATGGACCTCCTGACAGGTATGGTTGCGGTTGGTGGCAGGCCGTAGCCAGGCGAAGTCGGTGTCGGCCGTGCGCGGCTATGTGCGCACGTTAAACTTTGGCCTCTAAATTCTGCCATAGAACCGGAATTGCGCGATCGGAGGGTAGAGGGCAGGGTCACCGCAACAAGCTTCCCTTAGCGGTGGCTCTGTCCTTGTGAATCCTTCCTATCAAAAGGTTCGGACTAAATTTATTTAAAAAAAACGTTTAACATAGGAGGACTTAGCTAAGCTTTTTATCCCGACTTGCTTAAAAAATGGTGAAACTGACTGATAATGTAGGTGGGGGTTACAAAAGGTGTTAGTCGATACAGTTAGTAAAGGTTTGCCGTCCACTTTCAGTTCTGCAATCGCACACTGAAAGCCGTCCCCCCAAAATAAATCACACAAACACCATGCGTCGGCTGTCGCCTGTCATTTACGGACCTGACCGTTGCTGCGGTTAACCTTGTTCACCACAGCAGCGAACACAACGTGTCTGTCATCCCAGTTGAGGTTCACATACTTCTTCCAGAACATGTTTTTCCTCAGCTTCACATAGTCGCCCCGGAAGTGTTTGTTCAGGCTACCGCACAAACAATGTTGCAACACAATATATTTATTGCAAGTAGATCTTATTGTAATTTTTTCTTTTCTTTTATTCACTTTGCATATATACGAAACTATCTATATATTAGCATTTTGTAATTGAGCTTGTTGCAATCCGCATGTGTGCGGCAACATGCAAAAATGGGCATACATAATGTAACCAATCAATGATGATGATACATGTCACCTATATATATATATATATATATATATATATATATATATATATATATATATATATATATATATATATATCCCTAGTCCCATAGCCCCTTATAGTCCCATGTCGAATTCAGTGTGTGCAGCGCGAAATGGACTCGTGTCACTTTTTCTTACCTTTTTGGGTAGGACGCCTTCCGTCCCTTGAAAATGATGCTAGATGTGACCTTTTCCCTCATCCGGTTCCTCGACGTCTGATCGAAGCGCATCCGGTACTTGTGACACTGGAAGTAAGCCAAAAATATAAATAAACAGGAGGATTGTAATGGATTAAACGGTGTCAACCCCCGTATATCGTTCTCCGTCTTCCAATCACTGCCAGTATTTGCTAACACCTCAAATCAAACCCGTATAATTACACACCGACAAAAGAGGAGCAGGATGGAAGCCAGCTCACCCGCCACTTGTGGTAGAGTTTGTAGAGTAGCGCGCTGGCGTGCTGACAGGGCGGTGGTGCCCGCGGCCACTCCCGGCACAGTGGGCTCTCGGAGGGCAGGTGGTGCGCCAGCCGGAGCAGGAACCGGCGCCGCTTCCAGCCGCGGTAGGCGCGCTGCACCAGCCGGGCGGCCCACTCCGTGCGACGGCGCTGCTTCATGGCACGCAGCTCCTCCTTGGCCTGGCGGACACACCCGGCGGAGGGTTAGAGTGCAGACATGATAATGGAGACTACCGACCCAATAACAGCAGACGTTTGAAATAGAAACACCAATCACTGCGTAGGGCACAGAAAACAGCTTTATGAAGGATAGTCGACGGTACACTGCGGCCGACACACACATATCGACACGTATCGACCAATAATGATAGGGAACGACGTTCTAGTTCAGTCACATCGATCCAAACCTTCCGGTAAAAAACAACAGTCGATGGCTAGTGAGTGGTATCCATACGCACATACGACGCTACAGTTTACTTGAAACTGACCTGTAGACTGTTGTTTCGAATTGTTGACTGAATTACAGATGAAGACAGTTATATTCGTCTCAAAGACTGAATGAACACTAATCAACGGGAGCTTCTCAGCTACGCTTAGCTGCAGGTGTTTGAGCGTGCAGCTTTGAGCTCCCATTAATGCAGCTTGTGCTGCTTGGATTGGTTTGCTGGGCAGTGCTCCATAGCAACAATTGATTGTGCTGAATGCTACCGGATGTGTCGAAGTCAATGGGTAGATAATAGTGCGCTGTGCCACTGGCTGATGATATCGCGCTAGGCAGATGATATATGGGATCTGTATATAAACTACGACGCTCGGTTCTGAAGACAAAAAAGTATTTAACGCTGACTTCTAAGAACAAAAACACTGCTGTGAGGGCACGGAGGTTGACCAAGTTCTGCCACCAACCAGGCGCCCTATGTTCCAGTGGCTGATGACGGATCGTACTGCAGCGTTCTCCTCTCCCTGAGCCTCAACGTGCTCTTGCATAATACGAGCTTGCTGAAATGGGAATGTCAACGCCAAGTGATGGGACAAATACAGATGCATACCGCCGACGCAACGCATGCATTGTAAATCCCGACTGAGACGTAAACATTACGAGGGGAAGCGCCGATGGAAGAGGCTGGATTTCGCTGGAACATTTCAAATTTAATTTTCATCCATTGCCCCCATGTATTCATATAGCATAATTTGTCAGATTATTGAAACAGCGGCTGGTGCGGCTCATTCCATTGCTCAGTTCAAGCACATTTGTCTCTCAAGGCAGATCATATCTCAACCAGAGTTTGCAGAGTACTGCTGTTCGGAAGTATATACACCGTGTCTCCCGTTCACCTACCTTCCACGTTCTCCAGTTGGACGCGATGATGATCTGCGACTTGCGCATGGCCTCGAAGAGTCGGTGTTGCCGCCAGCCGCGCCACGTCTTCTGAATGAGGGTGGCCAGCTCTTCCAGCCGATCCCGGCGGTACTCCTCCAGCTCATACACCTGCCGGCAGAGAGAACGAACGTCAATGAGACTGAACTCAATGTCACCAATTCTACATGAATAGATGAACTAGTGAACAGTTGAAAACTACTTTATCTTGTCTATAAACATAAGACGTTTGCCTATTTCTGAACGAAGTAAACAACTATGTAAATAAGGAATATTCCCTGCACATAATCTGCACATTTTGTGAGTACTGTACGGGTTTTGGTTAACCCTCGCCCGTATTGGTGTTTTTCCAGCCGCGAACGTATAAGGGGGGGGGGTCCGTTGGACCCCCCTTGCTGTTTCGCCCCTGATCGAGCTAGAGCTTCGCAGAAAAGACGAGCGTGTTCCCCGTGACGAGAGGAAGCCGATGATACCTAATTTTAAGGTCCTAGGTCATTGGTTGACCTTGCAGGTCAGGTCAATGACCCAAAAGTCGGGAAAATCGAAACCTGTTAGAACGTCGTAAAGTGTGGCTGCTATGGGGTTTTTCGGGGCGCTGATCACTAATATCATGTTAGTTTTGATCACAGATGATGTTTTTATGCATTTAGTCCAGGTCGGGTCAGGTCAGGTCAGGTCAACCAGTAGGGGTGCTGCCGGGTATTCCTAGTAGGTGTCAACCGCCTCTGACAGCTTCGTAACATGTTATGAAGGCACCAAATCTACTTCGTAAATGTTCATATGGTTGCTAAATTCGAATTCAGCTCCAAAAACTAGCCTAGAAACATGTAAAACTCGAAAAAGTGAACCGAGGTCACCAAAGGTCAATGACCTGACCTGACCTTCAGGTGATCTCGACACCCACCCTAATGCATGGGGGCAACATCATATCACATGTTTGAACGCTTGAAACCACGAAAAGACTGCAAACGCGCGGCTAATGCGAGCCGACATACGCCGAATCGCGATTCCGGCCAAACATGGTCTCGAAAAGTAGGTCACAGGTCAAAGGTCATTGGGGTCAGGGTCATGAAATTTCAGGGTAGGTGTAAAATTGATAAACGCGAGGGTACTGAAAGTTTCGTTGCGATCGGCCGCTTTTTACGCGAGTTATTCGCGAAAAACCATGGGGGGGTCCGTTCGACCCCCCCCCCTATACGGGCGAGGGTTAAACCTATATTTTGACGCTCTCAGTAGTGTTGAATCACTTTCCAAAATCTCGATGACGACACTGTAACACTTTACAAAGTACACGGGCATGCATGGACACCGGAGGGCAGTGTTTGGACCCGCTTCAAACCCACAGATTCTCCCCGTCGCCACAGCGCGGCGCCGCTCACCGTCTCCGGACTCCGGATGAACAGCTTGGTCCGCCCGAAGGCGTACTCGGCCATGGAGATGGGCAGGTCGCGCAGCAGATAGGTGACGCCCTCGGCGGCCAGACCGCACCACGACGGCCACGTGTGCAGCGAGAGCATCTTGTAGCGAGCCAGAAACGACTCGTACGACTGGCGAAACGCGAACCCTACCCGCTTGACGCGAGCCGTCTCCAGCAGGCTGAAACATCGGGTGAGAGTCAGCTAGGTTGTCAGGGTGGTATATTTCTTCGCGAAATGAGAACGTTTCTGAAGAGATCAGTACACAAAATATAAAATAAGGAATGCCGTCGCTTAGTGACAGTTCTTGAAAGCTAGATGACACAGAAACTCAGCATTGATATACAAAATCAGAGACTTGTCGTCATGTAACCATCCAGAGTTAAACTGAACTTACTTGAGATAGCGGACCTGATGTCGCACCAGCTCAGAGTCGAACTCATTGGCCACCTTGGTGTCGTTGGGTTTGACACAGCGCACGTAGTGGGCCTGCTTGGCCGCCAGGCTCTTCATCAGGGCTCCGAGCGAGATCTTGAACTGGGCGCTGGCGGAGGTGCCCCGGCGGAGCGTGACGCGCTTCGGATTGCCTGGGATAGGGAAGATAAATGTCAAACTGGCTAGCTGAAAGCGATCTGGTAGCGGATAGACACCGACCGTTTTTTTATGGGTTTGTGTGTGCACTGTGAGAGCTGCGTCGTGGGATGCCCAAAAATTATTTACGACTGCAAAAGAAGTTCGCGCTTCCCCATGATAAACAGAACCAGTTAACCCTATGATAGCCAGTTCCGGTTGCCTTTACGCGGCTGCTTACCCTCTGGAAAGAGAGCCTTCATCAGCGGCAGGTCACAGCGGTACATCACCAAGCTGAGGTCCCTACTCAGGGCGTCCACGTTCTTCTTCACAAAGTCGGTCACATCGTAGGTCACGTCTCCGGCATAGTGTTTTAACCTGCGGCAGAAGACGTGATCAACATTTGCACTGCTCATTTTGTGAATGCAAGGCGGTGTCTATTGCCCATTGGTAGAATATCCACGCTGATTGAATGCATAAAGCCACAGTTACAAAGCACACATGCAGGCACGTACTCATTGTATTGCATACATCATCATACCGAGGTAATTTGTTGCCCATTCATTCTTCTATTTAATAGCCTGAGTTGGAGTAAGGCAGTTAGGACTTACGTTATAATTAGACTGAGTTAGCAAATCAGCCGGCGCTCATTACTAACCGGAAGCAGTGTGCCGGCGAGCTGTTGTCGCTGATCACCGAGAAGTGAGGATGGTTGGAGCAGGCGGCGTTCAACCGGGACAGAAAGCCCTCGTCAGAGCCGTGACCGGGCTTCAGGCACTCGTCGTCTAACATTGATAATATACCCTGATTGGTCTGAAACAAACAGACACGTCATAAACACACTTGAATACAGGACCATTAACAATTTAAAAGCAGAAAATATGAACACGACAGCTGCTACTAATTGTATCTAAGCACGTGTGTCAAAGGGTTATTTTCGTGCACTAACGGCCAACTCACAGACAATGACAATATAAAAACAATGTAATAAGACCAGACGTTTCGACAACAAAGTGCCTTCGTCAGTGGAAAACAAGATATAGGCTTTACATCGATAAAAAATATAGAAGACAACCAGCCTGCACGAAATACAGTTTTACTTTTTTGAAATATAGGTTATATCTAATCTCGCACTAATAATACATACCTATAACCTATATTTCAAAAAAGTAAAACTGTATTTCGTGCAGGCTGGTTGTCTTCTATATTTTTTATCGATGTAAAGCCTATATCTTGTTTTCCACTGACGAAGGCACTTTGTTGTCGAAACGTCTGGTCTTATTACATTGTTTTTATATTGTCATTGTCTGTGAGAAAAACGAAATGTCTGACTCTTCTAACTAACGGCCAAGTGCTATATCTCTGAGAAGGCACATGTTCACTATCATGTGAGTCACATGCAAGAGGAGTCGGATCTCACCTTTTCGATAAGATCACAGATAACGGCGTTGTTGAAGTAATCGACGGGCGTCCACTCGATGCCCTCGCGCACGTACTCCTCCTGCTCCTCGCGCAGCACCAGCTGGATGAAGATCTGCTGCAGCTTCTCGTTGCAGAAATTGATGCAGAACTGCTCGAACCCGTTTCGCTCGAACACCTCGAACCCATAGATGTCCAGAACACCCAGCACTTTCCGCTTGGCGTGCTTCTTTGGCTAAACAGGGAAATCCAGACGTAGGTAAGTCGACGTTTGGATGTTAGGCATTTAAGTTCAATTTAGAAGTGACATTAGAACGACGTTTCAAGTAAAGAGGAATATCGGTAGGTAATTTCTACTTTCTTCTGAACCTCGAAACACATTCACATTTTAATCACAGACCGTGGTCGAGCAGATTAAAGACAATAAGCCCTATTCACTCCCTGTGACGTTCACAAACGCCCACTATCGTGGGACCCCGTGGAAACGCCGCGTCTCGGCCGGCAGCGAATTCCACTGCACGGTAGGCTGTCCCGCACTACACGGACGCACTGCGGCACAGTCTACCAGGACCAGGCTTCACTCGCGGCTACCGCCGCGCCAGTGCCGACAAACGTGCTACAGCAAACTCGCTTCGCTCAGTCATCAGCGAATTGTATCAAGGGCACTGAAAAAGCTTGCCTTACCATATCTACCACTTTTTACCTTGATAGTTTCGTTGATCCGCATCACTATCCAGGCAAAGAGCCGCGAGTAGAGGGCCCGCGCGAGCACGTCTCTGGCGGAGCAGGCCTCTGCGGCGCTCAGCTCCACGGTGACGGCGTCCAGCCGGCCGTCCAGCGTGTGTGACGTCAGAGAGGCCTGCAGCGAGGCGGTGTCCGTGTGCAGCAGCTCACAGGCGTCCTGCAGATCTGCAGATCAAGAGGACAGGGCGCGTTAGGGTGGCGTATCACTGCAGGAGAAGAAACCGTTTTTGAATGCTTATGCAATAATAAGCATATAAATTTTCTGCTATATGCAAGCTTTATCTTCAAAAGTAAAGCATGAAAGTTATACATTTCCATTCCAAACAGAATTATTCAGAAAACCCAAAACTTTCGTTAACTAAATAAAGCAATAATATCCCGTGCGAGTCATTGGGTGCCCAATGCATAAACAGTCACGTTTGGCTTAGAAACGAAAGCCAATGGGAGAGTCTGGGCAATTCATGACTGCGACCGCACGCTGGCAGGCTACCAAGAATGTGACAGCCCGAGGCGCGGCTCTGGGTCATAATATTGCGCAACGGGGAAAACGACATCGGCCTGTCTGGGCAGCGGGTGACAACTGGGGAAGCCCGTGAATAATATTGCACGTAAAAGTAGGCCAGCACAGTGCATGACTTGGATAAACGTGACGAATACGGACAAAAGGCACATTATGAGGCCTTCAAAGCATCAGGATAAAACTTTCATTTGAAGGGCATGCAATACAATTTCCATTTTGGCAAGGAATCAACATGAATGATGCTCCTCATTGTAATCATGCACTACTCTTCAGTTGCCAACTGCTCAGCGAAAGACGCCGAACCTGTGAGAGCACTATAGAGGCCTGGCTACACTCTGCGTTTTATGCGAACGTTTTTTGCGTGTTTGCGGGTTTTGCGTAATATCATTCTAGAAAAAAGGTTATTATTAATTAAACTTCTTAAATACTTATATAAAAATTAATAAAACGTTTATGTTTATTAAAAGTTTATATGAAAAACATATAACAAAAAACGTAATGTCGTTTCTTTCTAGAACGATATTCCACAAATCACGCAAACTCGCAAAAAACGCACGCAGAAAACGCATAGTGTAGCCAGGCCTTAACGCTAAGCTCAGTCGCGACTGCACACGGCGGTCGCTGATGAGGAGAGAGGAGGGGAGCCGCCGCCGCCCAGTCTGCCAGTCGCCCTGATGACGGGCAGAGCGTCTGCCGAGAGCGGGAGCGGCCGACGGCTGACCGGCCGACGCGCTGACGACCCGGAGACACATTCTTGGCAGGGCCGCTGGCCGGCGCGCCTCCCCCGCTCTGCCGGCGCGCTCCGGCGCTCTCTCCGACGGCCGACACCTCGCCCTGTCGGACCGACAAAAAGCCGACGACGGATACGTCGCTGGAGGTCGGCTGCTCCGGACGGGCGGACGGCGGACGGCGGACGGCAGTGGACGGTGGGTGGTGGGTGGTGGACGGCGGACGCTGGACGGTGGGCGGTGGGTTGTGGGTGGTGGACGGTGAACGGTGGGTTGTTGTGTTGTATAGTGGACGGCGGACAGCGGACGGAGGACGGTGGACGGTGGACCGTAGACAGCGGGCGGTGGGCGTACAGCGGGCGGCAGGCGGAGACGTCGGCGACTGGTGAAGAGCTGAAAGCTGTTTCGGGAATGGATTGGTGGAGACCTCAATAAGGAAAACCGGAAGGCAGTGGGTGGCAGGCAGCGGCAAACGGTGGAGGTTGGCGACGTGTGCTAGCTTGAGTTCCGCTCAGTTTAGTGTCTGGAGCGGCGGTGAATGCTAGACGGCCGGCTGCGGCGAATAGTGCGACGGCTGTTGGCAAGTGGTGGATATGCCGGTAGGCAGTGGGCGGTGGACGATGGGAGGTAGCGGTGGGTGGCTGTGGCTGCGTCTAGGGCGGTGGGCAGAATCGAGCAGGCCATGGACAGCAGGCGGTGGGTGGTAGGCGATGCGAGGTAATGGTGGGCGGCTGCGATGATGGGCGATAGACGGAATGGAGCACAGCCTTGGGCGGCAGGCGGTATGCGGCTGGCGTCTGCGGCAGTGGGCGGAGTGGAGCACAGCCATGGGCGGTATGTAGTTGGCGGCTACTTCAGTAGGTAGAATGGAGCACGGCCATGGGTGGTGGGCGGTGAAAGCAGGTGGCGACAGCACACGGCAGTGACGGCCGTCTGTGAGGGTCTACAGCGGCGCGCAGTGGAAAAATGGTGCGGCACGGTGATAGGGGCCACAGATGGCCCGCCTCCCTCCGACACTGGCACATATGAGGCGCATCAAAAGCGGCCGAGACAGGTGCGCGATATCCCATAACGGCGCCGTGAATAGGAAATATTCGAGAAATAGTCTGTAGTAATGTAATGGCAGGCTAAACTCTGAACGGGGGTGAAACCAAATATCGAACGGTACTAAGTTATCCAGAGAGTGAACTCCTCTTGGCGTCGCCGGTCAGTTATTTCGTCCAAATAGGGCAATAACTTTCTCTTGATATATTTTCATACGAAAGTGAAAGTAAATTTAACAGAAGACAGCAAGTAATTTTCGTTGATAGAACCCATATTGAACAGTGTTGAAGCTAAGCATATTGGTTTTCCACCGAGGAATGAATGAGATCGGCTGCCAATGTTTATTTTGCTGGTCTGATTTGCTTGCATGCTCTGGATGGAGTTTGGGCGAGTGATCGCATCAACCCACTCTGCGATCGATTGGTCAACAAGATATGCATTCGCGAACAATTTATTGGCCCGGACAGAATGAATTGCAGTGATCTTCACCGTCTGCATCACCGAGTCATGGCGTGCTTGGATACATGTATGTCACATAGACAAATACCCTGTCGTGACGTGCCAACGAAAGCTTGCAGGTTGGACAGCTGATAGCTTCAGCCTTCACTGGAGCCAGACCAGAGAGCATCATTACATAAACACAAACATTTCCAAAGATTTTCAGGATCGCAGTGTCAAATAATAATATTCACCATATTCGTCCATTTTTCTTCAAGATGCACAGGTCAGGAAACCCGAGGGAAAAAGGCAGGTTATGGTATACCTTCCTGTGTAGATTGCCGTTAGATATGTATATTGTATAACTAGTGTATACCTGTGTAGACGGCCGGTGGGCAAACACCTACATATATAGATGGTCGGCGGGCATACCTGTGTAGATAGTATATCTGTGTAGAAAGTCTGTATGACTGTGTATGTAGTCTGTATACCTGTGCACTGTGCAGACAGTCTGTATACCTGTGTAGATGGCCGCGCTGGAGGGCAGGGTGACGGGCGAGCAGGCCACGCTCGAGCCGCAGTCGGAAGCCAGAGCCGTCACCAGCCGCCGGGTCAGCGCGCTGCGCAGCGTCTCAAAGCTAACCAGCAGCAGGTCGCTGGTGCCCAGCACCTCTGCAGGAACACGGCGCATGCGCAGTAAGCAGCCACGTGCGGGACACTAAGCGGCGCCAGAGCAGACGGTATCTACCCGTGGTTCAGCAATGTGCCGGGTACAGACAAAACGAAAATGTCGTGTTTTCGGACAGGCATCAGTAACGATCGCATTCATCTAAATGAGATCACAGGTACGGAAATGGACGAAATAAATACAATATTAGAACATCGCTGAAGGGATATTTTACAATTATAAAAATACAAATTTTATGAGAAACACTAGGCTGATAGTCTTTTACGTTTAATTGGCAGCATCTTTTGAGTTTATACAGGTTATTCTGCCTGTAAGACAACTGTCGTTGTACAATCACAACAGCATAATATATTGATGTTGCTAAACCTGGAAAGCTTTCAAGCATGGCAGAAATACTTTATGATTGATTTATAGGCATAGCGAGAAAGAATCACTAACAATCGTAAGTATCCCTTCAACTGCGTGCTCAACAATTATATCAATAAACAATTTGATCGATGCATCTCCATGCGAGCAATAACCCGGTCAAAAAATGACTACCAAAAGCACATCAAATGACAGTTATGAACGACTCAAAATAATGTAGCATAATGTCGTTCTCGTTCACATAATGCAGTAACCAATGAGTGCATGACTGAAAAAACAACAACCAGGCATACGGTCACAGAGACCAATGAAATAAAATGTTGCTAGCATTTGCTAACATTTGAACATACAAAACAGCATAGCAAGAATTATTTAACGAGATTAAAGGCAAGCATTTATGTAAGCGATGACGAATCCAAACGGCAGCCAGGCGCCCAGATTCTGCGCCTGCTGCCAGTCGTTCTGGAAATTATAAATCACCATTGAGCCCGCGGCCCGAGAGAGCTCAATTGCCAGAACCTGCCCGCCGTATAGATAAGGGGACGTTTCGTACTCTAGCTCAAGCTATCTCTAGGAAATGCCAATTTTTTTAACTGCTAGTGGGTTTAAGTGCCGAAAAGTTTTGACTACTGCCTTCTGGATTCGCCATCTGCGTAACACCGTTCAATCCATGATGTCGACTCACCAATGACAGAGAATCCGCGGCTTTACCACGTTCGTTCTTCACGCCGATCGGATCGAATCGCGGCGAGGCGAGAGAAAGATACTCACCATACGAACACGTGAAAAGAGACCTACTTACCCCAGCTGACGGGATAATTACTTGGCCCACCTGATGGCTGGGACAAAATACCCCGTCTGTCTGCTGCGGGATGGTCGTAGCTGACGTCAGGCTGGTCTATTTAGCGCCATGGAAACTTACCGTACTCATTGTCCACCACGCAGCCCTCGGAGCCGTCAATGTTGTTCACGGGCGAGAAGGTCACGTTGCCGAGCTTTAGCACGGACGCGATCACCCTCAGAATGGCCTGCTGCTCGTCAGGCGTGAGCCCCAGGATATCCATCGCCCTCTGCGGAGAGAACACGACTATCAGCTACCATACTTTGGGTCACTGTGGGAATTAACCCGCGCCCGGCTGGGGGTCCTGGATTTCCATGCCCTGCTGGGGGGGGGGGGGGTGTTTGAACACCCCCCTTCTAACTCGGCTCCTGGGCCACGTAGCGATACGCAGAAGGCGGCGTTCGAAAGAGCGTCAAAAATAATGAGGAAATCACTTCGGTCAATTTTTTGGTCAGGTCAAAGGTCAGGTCACCAGAGGTCATTGAAGGCAAAATTTCGCCGATTTCCAGGTCGAATGTCGACAATTTCCAAGAAGCCAACGCATAACTCGGGAACCAATAGAGCTACAGCGCCGCGGAAAAGCGCATTCGATAGCCCTATTAGCGCCCTTTCTGAGTAATTTCTCAGATTTGACCTAACGTCATCGGTTTTGCCTGCAGGGGGCAAAAACTGCAAAAATAGCCGATTTTTTCGGGAACAGTTTTTCTGCAATAACTTTTGACCCAAGCCTTGTACGAGCCTACTTTTACCGGCATCGTGTTCCTCTCGTCAAGACGCATCGATTGAATTATAACTTGACCTTGAAAGGTCAACTTGAAAATTTGACCTCAGGTCAAGGTCATGACCTGACCGGAAAGGGTCATGTTGCATATCAGTCGATCCGTATTGTCAATCTGAACACATCTAAGGCGTTTTCATCGCTCTAGCATGCCTCTGTCAAAAGTTATTTGCGAAAAACTGTTAGATACCATTCGTGACCTAAGATGACCTCAGGGCATAAACAGGGGTCACGGACACCATTTTCATGTTCAGTTTGTCTAAACCACTAGTAATTCAGTGTTTGGGAGTGTTTATAATGTCTTTCGTCCAAAAGAGGCGCATTTCAATTTTCTCCCATTGACTTATAATGGGGAGGTCGCAAAATTGACCTGACCTTAGGTCATCGATATCAAAATTCTGAGATATACATTTTGTACATGCTATTGCTCTTAGCAATCGCTGAAAGTTTCAAAGCGATCGATCACTCGGTGTAGCTATGACAGACATTGAAACTTTTTATGAGGTGAGGTCACTTCAAGTGACCTGGTGACCTGACCTTGAATGACCTTGGTCTGAAATTTTCACAACATGTGTAGAATTGATGTATGATAAGGTGTACCAAAAACGGCGGCGCTTTTTGAGATATTTGCGAAAAACCACAAGGGGGGTGTTCAAACACCCCCCCCTCCCCAGCAGGGCGCGGGTTAATAACTAGGAAGGACCGACTAATGACAGTTCATCAGACTAGCATTTAAAGTGCACTTTAAAGTTGAAGAAAATTACGAAAGTATTATAAAAATGCTTTCCTCGGCAAAACATACGGGCAGGTGAAAGGCAAGAGACACAGTCTAAGAGTATCGCATTCACTTACTCTTGTGACCTGGAAGTCCCGTTTGTCGTCCAGGGTTTCATACTGAAGTGGTCTTCCCTGTTTCAAAATATCGTAGTTTTCCACATTCCGTTGCAATTTGAGCGATTCTGAGAAAGAAACATCAATGCGTCATTTGTGTGTCTCTCTCTGTGCAGTTCCACGACAGGAGAGCAGCGAAGCAGACGGAATCGTTTTCTATTGCGCAGACTCTTAGGATTTTTTTTTTGAAAATTTTGAAATTTTGTGGAAACATTCAATAATCACTGAGGGCAAGGTTCCTTTCGGGCATTTCCTTTCGCTTACCATCTTCAGGATTGTTTTAAACCCACGCTAGGTTTTCACCTGTGACACAGCTGCCTAGCTGCGCTGCGAACAATTGCCAGTGCCAAGTGGGCCCTCTTTTGGCCGATTGCCAGCCTATCTCTCACTGCCCGGTTATGCCAGCTTACTTCCAGAAGTTGTCGAAACAGGTGGCGAGCTGTAGCCTATCGAGGCCAATGTCGCCAACCGCTGTGATTGATAAGAAGAAATTGCATGTTTAATTAAAATATCAAAGCATATGATTGACTCATTTGTTCATGACGCGGCCGGTTGGGCACTCACTGAGCAGCTGAATGTCGGCCCCGGTGAGCAGTTGATAGAATATGTGGAAGTTGCGCTCGCACGGCTGCTGCGCCGTCACTCGACTCTTCTCCAGGAGATCTGCTCGGCGGAGGAGGGGCGCGCAGATCCGTCAGAGCCGGCAGGCCACGGGCCGATTCACAGCAGATAGCGCAGACGTGCCGAGGGGAGTGTGAGCGATCGGCCGCGTACAGACGGCCCCGGCCGCAGCGCCCGCGCCGGCTCCTTCTAAAGGGTGCCTGTGGCTCTACCGACCGGTTATGAACATATTGGAGTGATAAGTAGTAGGCAATGTCGGGAACGCATAGATATTTGATCCATTGGGATAGATAAGTGCCCTTATCATTGTACGTATTTGACTCATGATATTTCATGACTAATCATTTGCGATAGACATAGTGGCGATACTCACAGTTTGTGATAAGGCCACCGATCGGATCTCCCTTGAAGTCGAACTCCAGATCCATGTATTTGCCCTGGAGAGGAGTCATTGTGGTCAGTGCGGGAAAGTGCAGGCTGAATAAATATGATATTTGTTTGCCAGAAGTACAAAGCATTTTCAATCACAGGATCAATTGGCTGGATACGTTATTTCTATCGTTGCAAAGACCTTATGGTGATATTGAACTCACATGTATCCTTAGCTTTATTTGCAACAATGTATGGGAAAACATGGCCTGTAAAACATATCATTTAAGCACAATTCTATTCTAATAAAAGCTTAAAGTACTAAAGCGAGTTTGAAAAGTAATGCAAATTACTCACAAAACGAGATGAGTTGTCATTGCGATGAGTCTTGGCGTTCCCAAACGCTGAAATAAGGATCAAGATCGTACGTCGTTAGTTGCCAATTACTGCGTCTAGGTCGAGTAAGAAAAGCTAAAGATAAAAACGAATCTTTATCTTGGTAAGCCGTTAACGTAGACAGTATTATGCTCGAGATAAAAATTACTAACTGTTGCCATCATCATTAATAATTTGTGTGACGGCGAAAAATGTTGGCCGCCGGAAGCTGTCGGCTGTTGCCGAGCCGGTCCAGAGATTAACACATTAGGCCGGGCAGCGGGCCAGACTCCGGCGGCGTCCACCGGCCGTCTCAGCGCGCGGCGCTCACCTTCCAGCACAGGATTGGACTGCAGCAGCTGGCCCTTGATGGCGTTCACCTCCTTGGCTCGTCCGGAGACGGCCGCCACGTACTGCATGATGAGCTTGGAGGCCTCTGTCTTGCCGGCGCCGCTCTCGCCCGATATGACAACACACTGGTCCGAGTTGTGCTCCCGCACGGCCCGGTACGCCTCCTCGGCCACGGCGTACCTGCATGGGTCGGACGGGTACGGGACGTAATGGCCAGCGGTGTCAGGGGTGGGTTACAGGTAATACGGGGTGAGCGCACAGAGATGAGTTTCCCTTCCTATCTCCACTTTAGAAAATGTGATCGAAATACAATATGGGACGTGTTATGCGAAAGCAGCATTACTGGCGATCTCTGTGCTGACGGAAAATATTGCTCATAGCGAGCATGATAAACATTCAAGTATAGGCTACTCTATGCAATAAACGTTTACCGGACATTAGTTGATGACGTTTTACGTCTGGGGATTATCTACTGACACGTGCGGCTGCAACTGATGACGTTTTACGTCTGGGGATTATCTACTTACACGTGCGGCGGCAGCTCGAAGCGGGAACACGAGCGATACGCTCGTATTACGTCACTGGAGTAGAGCGGCAGCTTTTTGTACGGGTTCACAGACACCAACACTTGACTTATGTAGGTCTGCAATGAGCGGTGGAACACATAGGATTGCGTTTGTAATACATACAACAGTCGCACATTGCCACCATTCCCAGCATTATGCTTCATGTCTGCCATATCGTCAAGACGTTATAGCTTGAAAGTTAGCTCGAACCTTTTCACAGATATCTTTGGTCGCTATAATACGCAGTGTATGCGCTTCTGTTATCACAAATCATAATACAGACAATTTCATATGATTTAAATAGATATTTATTCATTGATTTGCATAATCGCCTACAGAGCAATCTTCACTTAAAGGCGAAGTCATAGGCATAAGTCGGCATAAAATTTGAGTGATACTGCTCGCAGGGGTCAGCAATAATCACAAAAGCCCCCGGATATGTCACACCGTAGTTCCTTCATTCTTCTCAGCCGATGCATTCAAAGTGCACTCTCTCGTGGTCCCCACTTATGTAACCGAGCGTCTCCATTGAACCGTGTCGAGCTCGGTGTCACTCGCCCCCGCTGAGCCGTCTGTGCTGTATGGCGTTTGGCACCGCGGGAGGGCGCCCGCGGGTCCCCGGGCCGGGGTCGGCTGGGCGGCCGACGGGACGGAGGGCCACCGGGGCCGCCGACCGGAGACGCGGCGGGCTCGGCGGCGCAGCACGGCCGCCGCAGACGGTGGTCGGAGGGGGCCCCGGTGGGGGGGGGGGGGTCTCGTAACTCACCCGGATAATGAGCTAACCAGACGGCCGGTCGGTTGGCCAGGCATCGGGCTGACATTGTATATTTTTATATTTTGCCGGATTTCTGACGGTATCCTTACATTTCTTTTGATAATCACCTATACTGAGTCTCGGCTGTGTTCGGCTGAAGACAGTTGCTGTGCTTACAAACGAGCTGGGCTGACTACTAAGTGCGAGGTGTTCGCAGCACACTGGCTGATTCAACCAGCCAGACAGACCAGCTAATAATAGATTGACCACTCAGCTTCACCGTCTACCGGAAACTGACCTCGCTGTGCCAGGCCCCTTTACCGCATGTCCACTGTCCACTGCCCTCTGACTGCTGACTACTATCATAGAGCCCGTGCTGCCCGTGTTCATGACTCTCCTCAGACCCAGCTCCCCCGCTGCCTGCCCATGACCCCGGCCCCGCTGACTGTGCCCCGCTGGCAGCTGCGGAGGCCGGTGACGCAGCGGCATGCCAGAAACGCCGGACGTGATTCAACCCTAACGCGATTACGCAGCCGGCCGCACGGTCCGTGTGCATCGCAGAACGCGGCAGAAATACGACTCTCTAAGTGCCGCGTTAGCCGACAGGATCCCCGCAGGCGCCGAGGAAAGAACAGTCTCAGTCCCGTGACACCGTAATAATGGAATGGCTGCCAGTGCGCTGGCGAGAGCTCACACAACTGCGCCATGTCACTTGTGTGACGAACGGTGACAGCAGTGAAGTGAATATATCTCAAGGACAGCGGAATTTCACCCAGCGCGGCGGAAACGATGAGCATGAACAGGACCATGAACTGTGCTCTCCACGAAATATAGTTCCTTGACCATAATCCATTTATAAATATGTATTTATCTTAATAAAACTTCGTGTAGAAAATTAATATCAGCAAGGTTGTAAGTACGTGCACTGGAAGCCACCGTAGCGGCAGAGCGGGACACTGGTCCGGATGTCAGCCACCACGACGCAGAAATACCGCCGAGTGACAGTTTTACGGCACGGTCGTGCCCCAGCGAGCTCCCTGCTGAGGTGCACGGCTCGTTGGCGCGCCCTGACCTCCGACATTGCCGGGCCGATGGGGCACTGTCACCCGGGATAGGTTCCCGGGAATAGGCGGCCGACGTCTGGGAAATGGTAGACGTCTAGGAAACGGCCCTGCTCCGCTGAACGGTGGACCCAGCCACTGCTCCGAGTCCGGCCAGCCTAAACAGAAACACCGGACGTGTGTAGCAGCTGCAGAACACGGTATGGGGGCCTCACAGTTAGTAACTGTGCCTTTTAGTCACAGTTTAGGCACCTCACAGTTAGTAACAAGTGAGAAATGGCTCATGATCAGCGCGACAAAATCGCCTCTTTTACGTATCCTGCTCCTCATTGAAAAGAGAAATAACTTAAATTTTACACTAGCATCATGCAACGGAAGATAGAGTTCCAACAAATTGCGAGTTAGAAGGTTCAGGGTTCACTGATTTCGATTGTCCAAAAGACGCATCCGAAGTCGTTCGCCGTCTGTTATGCAATACACACCTATGGCAATTGATACCTATATTGAATCATGTGGGATATATCTGCGGACATAAATGACAGAGTGGACACAATTCCTCGAATTGGTGCTCATATTTTTGACGGGGAGACTTACATGATGACGAATTTGGGGCTGTTTTCAAGCGTGTTTGTGGCGCGGTACCCACATATGTAGATCTGGCTGTTTGTGGTGCAGCACTCACAGGGGCGTGCTTGTAGTTTGTACTCACATAGATCTGGTCGTGTTTGTAGCGCTGGTGCAGGTTGGCGATGAAGGCCTGTTCGGTGAGCGGTTCGAGGAGCACCGTGTCCCATACGCCCACCTCGCGCTCCAGGGTGAGGGGCCGACCGGGGGCCGGGGCGGACCGGGGGCCGGCCCGCTCCCGATCTCGGTCTCGGTCCCGGTCTCGGTCCCGGTCCCGGTCTCCGGAGCAGGACCGCGGCGCGAGCCGGTCCCCGGAACAAGACCGCGGTCCGAGCCGCTCTCCGGAGCAGGAGCGCGGTCCGAGCCGCTCTCCCAGCGGCGGCCCGGGACCGCCGCTGGCCATCACAGGCACCACCCGCTCTGCAACACAGGGACGGTGACGGGTCAGGGAACAGCCAGTAACTTTCAGCTTCGTTTAATAGAGTAGACTAATCAGACGTGATCAAAAATTATGTTGAAAGACAAACGTTAAAATCAATGAGTAATAAACCAAATAGAAGTGCACATGCGCCCTTTCTGAAACAATAAAACAATGAAAAATTGAAACAGTTGTAACAATTATTTTGCAGAGTACATATTTTCTTTTAAAACCTTAACGGATTGTTTTCCCTTCGTAAGTTGCTACCTTACGTCCTTACACCAATTACGTGTCACACGGGGTGTGTGTTTAACTGTTGGCGGTACGTTCTCGCGCCATCTCCCAGCACCATTTAGGCCGGCTCTGGCAGCGACGCGCGGCTGCCAACTGCCATTTGAGGCGTCCATCGACCATGTTAGGCGGCCGTACTTAGATGAGAGGGGAGATAGAGCGGCCCGGGAACGAGCCACACTCTCTGGCAACGATTCTCGATAGGTGGGAGGAACGCACGTGAGGGCTGGGACGGTCACGTGGTCTCTCTCTCTCTCTCTCTCTCTCTCTCTCTCTCTCTCTCTCTTCTCTCTCTCTCTCTCCTTATCTCTGTTCCTCTGTCTGTTCCATCTCCCTCTTCTACTCTCCCTTTTTGTTTCCTCGCTGCCTTCGGTCCCTCAGTGCCTACATTTGTGAGTATGGCGGTTGCTATGGGCGCGTGCCCACAGAAGCAGAAGAGGCAATCATTTAAGAACACTGGATGGTGTGCTAAGACCAGGCGTGGCATGCATTGTCAGCATGATATAACACAGTACAGTATCGTGCATGTATGTGTGTATGTATCTACGATCAAGAGCGATCCACACATGGCTTGACGATTACTGCTCTACTCGTGCATTCTTCACGAGCATATAATTGTATCCAAAATTGACACCTAGACTGCAATAATTATTGATTCTTTATGTAGGCATAGGTATGTAATATGAGTACCTTTTAGCAGTGTTTGACCTTAGTAGGCCAAAAAGGTCAAATGGGAGCTGTCAACTTAGATGAAATACAACGGAATGTCGCTTTATGAGCAAATGTTTTGCCCTTCCTAGCTCTTGCGCACGATAAGTGGAAAAGACGGGTTGTAACTACAACTGAATGTCGGGTGCTTATATTCAAGCCGTCTGCTGAATCAATGTGGGATAATCCCGCATGGCGTTAAGAAGATTCGGAGAACGGTAGAAAGAGGGAGCTTAGTTCACCGAATTTCACTTAGACTAAAAAACGCTTCGTCCTGCACAGTCTCATGAGGAGAGCGGTAAGTTCTGATGCGTGACCGGTGGTTGGTATTGAGGGAAAGTCGATGATTGCTGGGGTCACCTGAGGTCGGCAGAATTGCCGCCTGGCGGACCATTCGAGGACAGCGCGTCAGGACGTAATCACTTGTGTACGCCGACTGTCGGTAAGGCAGCGGCGCGTGAACGAGACAGGCGACGGTGGCACGGCCAGTCAGATACGAAAGTAGGTGGTCACTTGGTCTAATGGGATGATCACAGGCGGTCACGAGGGAGGTTAGTCCCGACAGAATGTGGCCACCATGACCAGCTTATACGTCACGGGTGATCGCCGAGATGATAGACGGTCGGTAGGCCGGTCATTCAAAACTTAGACGGTGGTGATGCGACCTGCTGGGAGCTTATACCTAAAGGATCACAAAGACAACAACTGCGAGTGGTCAGTGACGATGTCACATAAGTGGTAACATGAGGTGATGGGAGATCACAACGGTCAGAGAGGTTATGGCTGGTCACGCCAGCGATCTATGCCGATAGCAGTTGGTCGCATGATCGAAATATTTCATGACGGGCAGTGTGTACAACAAAATAGATGACAGGGCTATCAGTCACGACAGCAAGTGATTTGATATTGTCCGATAGGAGGGTTATGCGCTGAACCGGTTTCTCACGGTCACAGTCAGGCATGGGTGACTTTATTTGGCCGCTAGCTATTGTAGACGGTGCTGGGTATCGGGCGGTCAGGACAGGCCATGCGACTGTGTGTTTATGCAGAGGTAAAGTGCGCTCCACGGTCATGGGCAGCCGTTAGGAGAATGTTGAAAAACGTTGACGCAAAAAACAGTGCGTCAGATCTGACAAAGCTCTGTGAAGCCCTAACGCCAATTTCAGATCTTTAGATACGGCGTACCTATATCAAAATTATTTCAAAGCTGTTCCAGAAGGGTCGGCACCCAGAAGTGTCACCCATGTGTAGGTACTAAGTAGGTACCTACTGAACTGATTCATTTGCAATTGTCGCAATTGTTACTTTCATTCACATACATTCAACGCATCTAATGATCTCGTAGATTCGAGGTAACCATGGACCATGCAATTGTACCATTTCATGTCTTCAGCTGATCCGATCATCAATCTCCCCAGTACCAGCGCTCGTCAGTCAGTGGCCCTGGCTCTCATCAGCCACAGTTCTGTTTCTGTTTGTAAATAGAACGGCGCTGTTCTGTTG